TGGCGTGTCAATTGGGGTTAAGCGACTTGCCCAGGGTCACAACTAGTAAGTGTTAAGTGTTTGGTCTGAGACCAGATTTGAACTCAGGTCCTCCTGCACCACCTAGCTGCCTCTGTTTGTTTGTTTTTAAAGTCTGGGCACCTCCTTTACCCAACACATTGCTCCGAAGATTATTCCGTCAATTGCTGTGGCTGAAAGTGATTTATTTTATTTTTATTATAAATTTAACAACTAACAACAAAAATAACAAAAACAAATAAACATACTAGGGGCAAAATGCTGTCCTAAAAAGTTTAACAAGGCAAAACCAAACAAACCATGGACGAGGAAAATGCTTTTGTTCTATGCTCTTTCTAGAGTTCTGTTATCTTTAGCTCTATTTTGCTCTTCTTTGTTATTTAGTAGTTTTAGTCACTGTGTATACAATTCTGCTTCTGATTTCATTTTAATCACCTAATATTTGTTCACGTTTCTTTGTATGCTCCATATTTAACATTTAAAGCACTATCACATTGCTTTATATTAATAACAATTTATCTAGTCATTCTTTAATTGTTGAACATCTTCAAATTTTTCCCATTACACAAAGAACAGCTATGAATACTTTTATACCAGTAGGTTCATTTTCATTTCTGTGTCTTCATAGTAGAGACTTAGTGATGAAATCACTACGTAGGAACAAGTTTTGTGATTCTTACTGCATGTTGCCAAAATATTCTCTCAAATTATCACAAGTCTGAGTTCCCAACAATACATTTGTTTTTATTTTGCTTTGTTTCTTTTGTAAGCTTTAAAAATACACACCCAATTAATTTCATTTTCCTTCCTAATATAGACTTTTAAGACCATGGATTTTTCTGAATACCATTTTTGCCTACGTACCACAGATTGTAATATACAATTATCTATAATATAATTATCTTTGGCATAATCTGTATGGTTTCTACAATTTCTTCTTTTACTCAGTCTTTATAGATTATTTTTAATTTCCATAGGGACCTATACCCTTCATTCATAGAATCTTTATTAATTTTATTGCCTGGCATGTAAAACAGTACATTGTTTCTGCTTTCCTATATTAGCTTAGCCCATGATCCACTTTTATAGAAGTTCAGTGAAAGCTGAAAAAAAGGAATTTTTGGAATTTGGAAAGGGATTTGTTCAACCTATAGAATTCTTTCTATATATTTGTCTATCATATCAACTTTAATGCTCTTTAGCTCTGTGATTTCTTTTTTTTTTGATAGATTTATCATATCCTGATAAAGAAGTTTTGAAATCTCTAAGTACACTCATTTAAATATATTTCTTCCTGCAAGACTGTTGGGTTTTTCTTTATGAAGTGTGCAGCAGAATTATTAGGTGAATATATGTATATGTCCTTACATAGATTTAAGATTGTTATATCCCAATTCATCATTTATAAGAATTTCTAGGATAGTATATTACATTAACTTTTTAAAAATTACTTTGCAGTTTTAATTTAATTTTGATCAATATTATTGTCACTTGTGCTTTTCATGATTTGCCAGCAGTGTAGTGAATTTTAGACTAGCCTTGCATTTTAAATCTATTTATACATGTGAATTGAATGTTTCCCATCAGCATGTTGTTGTTGCTTAATAACATTGTGTGACTCTTTTGTACTTTATTTGGGGAGTTTGGCCAATTTGTGTTCAGTTACAGTTCTTAGGTTTGTTTTGGCAAAGAGATGTGGTATGAAGTAGTGTGGAGTGTTAGTCTTGGGAGTTAGGAAGCCCTAGGTTTAAATCCTGCCTCAGACACTTATTAGCTCTAGCTGTGTGACCATGAACAAGCTACTTAATTCAGAAAACATTTACTTACTTCATAATAAGCACTTAAATATTTGTTGAATTAAGTTTCTTGCAGTTTGCTGAATTACTAAATTTAGTCATATAAGTACTTTAACTTCTCTGAGGCTTAGGTAAGTAACTCTCTAAGAAAATTTTCTAAGTTATAGTTTCCAGGTTATAAACTGGATGAAGAATTCACAGATCCTTGATACACTGAATTCTTTTTCTGACCCATTCAGAAGAAAATATAAAACTTCCTAATCTCATTTCTATTAATCCAAACTGAACAGAAGAACTCTAAACAAAGTTTTTGTTGTTGTTGGACTTAGATTAGTAACTATGACAGTTACCTTAACTTGGATTTCCCTTTTATCAAAGACAGGATCTTTGATTTAGGATTACCTTGCTCCCCTTTACTTTAATAGTCAGGCTTTTTCTCTGTTTTTCTGACATTCTTTGAAACCTTCAATGACTCAATCAATATAATGTTCTAAGGTATCTCACATTTTGTTATCACCTGTTGTATCTTGTTTTAAAGCATGTATCTTAAGGGTGACTTATTGGCTTTTTGAAGAACTGCTCAAAGACAGAGCTCTATAAATTTTTTGAAGTATATTTGCTTCTCAAATATCCATATACTTTCTTCATATAAAACATGCTTCATTCTCCTGGATCAATAACATTGGATTCATGGCTTATGTACCTTAATTTTTAAATGTTGGGTTCCACTTTCCTCATTATTAGCTTTTTCTTCCTGAAAAGTCTACTTTGATGCTAATTGTTATTTCTGGGTGATTTCTTCATTTCTTATGACACTGGATAGTATTTTCCCCTGTGTTTAAATTTGATGTGTCTAGATTTGTTAAAGATTTTATCTTTTTTTAAGCATCCTTTTTATTCTATTTGTATTTAGCTAGTTGTTTTCTCCAATTCTGAAAATATTCTTTGACAATTTCAATCAATCAACAAGCATTTATTCAGTGTCCACTATGTGCCAGGCACTGTGGTAGGTGATAGGGATACAAAAATAAAAGAAACAGTCCCTGCCTTCAGAGAGTTTACATTCTATCGGGGAAGACATATACATAGAAATAAATACAAAATACATACAAAACAATACAAGGTAATTTCAAGGGCAGGCACTAGCAGCTGAGGAGAACATAAAGGCCTCACATAAATGGTGCTGTTTAAGCTGAGCTTTGAGCTTTAGGGATGTGAAATGGAAGTGAGAAGGGAGTGCATTCTAAAAGCATGAGAGGCTATCTATGAAAAGGCACAGAGAAAAGAGATAAAAAATATATATATAATGAGGAACAGCATGAATGCCAGTTTAACTAGACCACAGAGCACACGATGGCTAGTAGTATATAATAAAGATGGAAAGGTAGGTTGGAAATGACTTGTGAAGGACTTTAAATGTCAAACAGAGGATTTTATATTTGCTCCTGCGAATAATAGGGAACCATAGGAGTTTACTGAATAGGGGACTACTATAGTTAGACCTGTGCTTTAGAAATATCACTTTGGTAGCTGAGTAAAGGCTATATTAGAGAAGAGAGAGACTAGAGGCAGGAAGACCAATTAGACTACTGCAATAATCCACATAAGAAGTGTTGTGCTCTTTAAGATAGTGGCCCTGTGAGTGAAAAGGAGATGGATGTGAGAGATGCTGTGGAGGTACAAATAAGGCCTGGCAACTGCTCCGATATGTAGGGTAAGGAAAAATAAGGAGAATGACTCTAAGGTTGTGAACCTGGTTCCCTAGAAGGATGATGGTGCCTTTGGCAGAAATGGGAAAGTTAGGAAGAGGTGTGGATTTAGGGTGGGATAAGAATGGGGAATAATAAGTTCTATTCTGGAAATGTTTAGTTTTGATATGCCTACATTATTCAATTAATAGGAAATTTCCTGAAATGTAGTATCCAGAGTCTTTTGTTTTTCTAAGTTCTCTGAGGTGTCAGTAATATTCAAATTCTGCATTGTGACATAACAGTCAGGTCTGTTGGTTGGATGTTTTTTCCAGTAGTTTGGATAATTCCATGTGTCTGGATTTCCAATTGCTGTATTTGATGTAATTCCATTTTCCACTGAAATAAGTCTGGTGTTAGCTGCTACAGATTTCTGAGGTTTTTTACTATATTTTCCATCGACTCTTATTTTTTTATATATTTCTCAATTCTCATTTAATTTCTTACTTCCTTCAAATTCTTCTTTTATTTGATTAGGTGATTTTCTTAGCATTGCCAATGTTTACTCAATTTATTTGAAAATGCTGTTTACTCACCCTCAAGACATCTCATGGAATAACTTTGAATGGTTTCTTTTCCTATTTCCATTGCTTCTGGCATTTTAGCCAATTCACATGTGCGACAGTATTTTAAAAATGCATTAACACTCTTTTTTCTATTTTGCTCATTTTAAATTTGGTTGCTTTCAAATTTTTTTGTATGAATTTTTAGCCAATTTTCATGATGGTTCCCTTCAGTCTTCTCTGCAAAACATCTTGGATCAATATCCCATGATTTCTATCTTTAAAATAAAATCATTTTTGTCCTTCTAAAGAAAACTAGAAGTTCATTGGGTCTCACTAGAAAATTTATAGAAGCACACTTTCCACTGAGTCTTGTATAATGTTAGTTCTAAGAAAAATGGCCCAATTTATTTAAAGTAAAAAAGCTAACTTCTTTTGGTATCAACTCTTGTTAGGTATTCATACATCACTAGTATTTTATCATGAAAAGTAATGCAAAAATATTTAGAAGCAGCTTTATAAAAACATAATATTGGTAATTTAACAAAACTCATATAAAATGATTAATATCTTAAAATTTTGTTGGCTGAATTAATTATTGGCAAATTGATCATGAATTTCTTTTTAATATAAGCTCCACTGTAGGCAACAGTGTGTGTGTGTGTGTGTGTGTGTGTGTGTGTGTGTGTGTGTGTGTGTGTATGTGTATATAGATATCTATATATCTATATATCTATATATACACACACACACACACACACAACACACACACACACACGAGGAAAGAAAGCACATGGGTGAGGGAGGATCAGGAAATGTGAATAAAAGCATATTTTTCATCAAAACACACCAACACAATCACACATAATGACAAACTATGATATCATGACCATAGGGAATGAAGGCTACATCTAAAAGAAGTCTACAACATTTACTAAATTCGCAGAATTATTTTCCATTGTGAACTCTCTGATGTCTAATCAGGGCTGAACTATGTCTAAATGCATTTCCACAACGAATACATTTATAGGGCTTCTCTCCAGTATGAATTCTCTGATGTCGAGTAAGATTTGCATGCAGGCTGAAGGCTTTCCCACATTCATTACATTCAAAGGGTTTCTCTCCAGTATGAGTTATATGATGTTGAATAAGATATGAACTTCGAATGAAAGCTTTTCCACATTCATTACATTCATAAGGTTTTTCTCCAGTGTGAATCTTCTGATGTTTAGTCAAAGATGACCTATCACAAAATGCTTTCCCACATTCGCTACATGCATATGGTCTCTCTCCGGTATGGATTCTCTGATGTTGAGTACAGTCTGTACTTTGACGGAAGGTTTTCCCACATTCATTACATTCATAAGGCTTCTCTCCTGTATGAATTCTCTTATGTTGAGTAAGGTGTCCACGAAGTCTAAAGGCTTTTCCACATTCATTACACTTATATGGTTTTTCTCCAGTATGGACTCTCTGATGTTGCCTAAGGAGTGCACCCTTACTAAATGCTTTCCCACAATCATTACATTTATAGGGTTTCTCACCAGTATGGACTCTCTGATGTTGAGTAAGGAGGGCACCCCTACTGAAAGCTTTCCCACACTCATTACATTCATAAGGTTTCTCTCCAGTATGAATCCTCTGATGTTTGGTCAAGGATGACCTATCACAAAATGCCTTCCCACATTCATTACATCATAGGGCTTCTCTCCGGTATGAATTCTCTGATGTTGAGTTAGGTGTTTACTCTGACTGAAGGTTTTCCCACAATTATTACATTTATAGGGTTTCTCTCCAGTGTGAATTCTTTTATGTTGTGTAAGATTTCCACGAAGTCTGAAGGCTTTTCCACACTCATGACATTCATAGGGTTTTTCTCCAGTATGGACTCTCTGATGCTGCATAAGTAGTGTACCCTTACTGAAAGCTTTCCCACAATTATTACATTTATAAGGTTTTTCTCCTGTATGGATTCTTTTATGTTGAGTAAGGTTTCCTCTAAGTCTGAAGGCTTTCCCACATTCATTACATTCATAGGGTTTCTCTCCAGTATGGATTCTCTGATGCTGCATGAGGAGGGCACTATTACTGAAAACTTTTCCACAATCATTACATTTATAGGGTTTCTCTCCAGTATGGATTCTCTTATGTTGCAGTAGAAGTGCAGCCCTATGGAAAGCCTTTCCACATTCATTACATTCATAGATTTTTTCTCCAGGATGAATTCTCTTATGTTGAGTAAGGTGTCCATGCAATCTAAAGGCTTTCCCACATTCATTACACTTATAGGGTTTCTCTCCTGTATGAATCCTTCTGTGTTGAGTAAGGTTTCCACGAAGTCTGAAAGCTTTTCCACAATCATTACATTTATAAGGTTTCTCTCCTGTATGGATTCTTTGATGCTGTCTGAGGAGGGCACCTTTATTAAAAACTTTTCCACATTCATTACACTCATATGGTGTCTTCCCTACACACATTTTCTGATGTCCAATTAGATGCAAATTACACCTGAAAGTTTTTCCAAATATATCACATTCAAGGTCTCTCTCTCTTGTAGGAACTCTCTGTTCTGTAACAAGGATTGAATTTAGACTAAATTCATAACACTCAGGATCTATCTTCCCAAGAAAAATTTTCTTTGGGGAAACTGTAACTTGCCTCAGATAGTCTTCTTCATTATTTGGCTGCTTTCCAAAATGATCATCAGACTTCCAGGTTTCTCCTGATTTAGAGTACCAGATACCATCCTTTGTGAATCTTTCCATTGCCTCCTGAGATGTTCCTTCTTCAGAAATGCCCTGTATGGGAACTGGATCCTTGGTTTCAGGCCTGGTTCCCCAGTCTGAAAGAAAGAAAGAAAAAATGCGACTGTGCCCTATTGTTCATGCTGGAAGATATATAAAACTAGCATGCCTGAAGAAATGAAACTACTAACATAAGAATAGGAAAGAGAAATAATAATGAACATAAAAAAGTGGCTTTGAATAATTTCAAATAAGACCTCGTAACTGGAGAGAAAATGAGAAGGATAGGTAAAAATTAATTAGAAGAGAACATTGGTGGTTAGAGACATACATATTTATTGTGCAAGGAGAACATAGTCAATTAAGGCAATCAAGGAAGATCAAATTATGAAGGGCTGTCTGTTGGAATAGCCTAAATAGATGGAATATAGGCAAAAGTGAAGAGCAGGATACTGGGAGGCAGGCAATCTAGGAACTCCACAGCTTCATCATCCCATGCCATTATTGTAATGGCACCCTTCCAATTTATCATACACACACCGCTACCAAATAAATCCTTTTCAGTAACAATTTCATGTCTGTGACAATAGCCCTACGGTACAAACTCTCCTATTCTTTCTAATTATAATCAGGGACCATCTGTAGCCACAATGATAATACCATCTCTACCTATATCTACCTCTATTGTCACTTCCTACACACTGCTATAGGTTCCCGGTTGTCTTCATTCAGCAGGACCTTAAAGGGTTTAGAGGGCAAAATATTGGGTATCCCATTATCTGCATCACCTCTTATCTCTAGTTTTACTCTCCTGAGATTACTAGATTTTATGCATTTATCTATTCTGACTGCTGAGACTTATTTTAACCATTCACACCTGACTTCCTCTTTTTTATTTATAACTTCCAAATTCCCAGACCTTTGGCCAGCCTTAGATCTTTGACAAGTGTGGACCTACAAAAGCTGTTTCCTATTAGAAGAGGAGGTTTTAAAAGGTTAATAGGTAGGATTCTATTGACTAAAATTCTATAGGGGAGAACAGTCCTGTAAGGCATGAGAACCTGTGAAAAAGTGAAATTCTGAAAGACATGAAGGAATTACAATAAAGAATTCCAATAAGGAGGGAAAAAAAGCTTTATTTGAAGAGATGTGGATATACAAAGAATTAAACAACCAACTCAGATTTTTTTTTAAGCTACGAACAGAAGATGGAAGCAACAACAGGGAACAAGACAAACACAAAAGTGAAGCAGGGTACCGCGAAGTCAGAAATTCTAAAACCAAAAATTAATTCAAGCTGGTGAAGAAAACTGAGGACAATAAAAAGGGTTTGGTTTTTTTTTAATGCTTTTTTTTAAGCTAGATCAGGTCAAAGATGAGAGGACTTTGGAGTAGAATAGTTAACAGATGACTGCTCAGTTTTTATTTTGCCTCTACTTTTTTCTGCCAAAAAGAATGACCTTGGGACTGGAAAGAATGAAAATGGCTAATAGGAAATGATACAGAATATAAATGAAAGATAAAGAGCATGTAGCCTTCCTTGATAAATTCAAGTCACCTAGCTCAAATGAACTACAACCTTAAGTACTGAAAGAATTGGCCAAAGTAATCGCTGAGCCATTTGTAGAAAATAAGAGGTATGTCAAGACCAAAGAAGAAAAAATGTTACACTAATTTTCAAAAAAGAGAAGAGAATGAAGTCTGTAAAATACAGTATCTTAAAAATTTTAGTGCAGTTTTAAACTATTAAATCTTAAACAAATTACTTTTGGGATTGAGTTGACTTCAATTTCTTGGCAAAATTCTAGAGTGTATTATTAAATATCTGGTGTGTGAATATCTAGAAATAGAAGAAATGTTCACAAATAACCAGCATGACTTAATCATGATTAGATCAGGGGGCAGCTCAGTGCTGCAGTGGATAGAGCTCTGGCCTTGGAGTCAGGAGGTCTTGAGTTCAAATCTGGCCTCAGACACTTGACACTTAACCAGCTTTGTGACCCTGGGCAAGTCACTTAACCTCGACTGCCTCACCAAAAAGAAAAAAAAATCAAGAGTAGATCATACAATCTAACCTTATTTCCTTTCTTGACAGATTCACTAAACTACTAGGTCATGGAAATGCTGTAGACAGGATTTACACAGAATCTGGCAAAGCATTTAATAAAATCTACCATGTTTCTCTTGTAGAAAACATGGAGAGATTTAGGTGAGACAGTACCATTAGAAATATTTGGAACTAGTGGCCTGGCTATACCCAAAAAATGATCATTAATGTTTGAAAGACAGTATCTAATAGAGTACCTCAGAAGTCTATGCTTGACTTTGTGTTGCTTAATTAAAATATGCTTTTAATCCATGTTTGACAAAAATTTTAAACAACACAAAGTCAAGCATAGAGCTAGGGGATCCCACCAATTAAATAACTGAGGTTAATATGAAATTGTACTGAAGGTAAATCTAGCCTCAATCACTTACTAGTTGTGTGACTCTGGGCAAGTCACTTAACCTGTTTCCTCATCTGTAAAATGGAGATAATAACAGCATCTACCTTACTGGGTTGTGGTGATAATTGAAAAGTATTTACTACGGTGCATACACATAGTAAATGCTATATAAATGTTAGCTATTACTATTATTCCTTGTGACTTCAAACCGATGACCCAAACTTTTTATTATATGTTATCACCAGTGTTCCCATTAATACTGTGATGAACAATTTTGAAAGATACCACAAAACCATACCTAAGAACTGCATACTCTGTACATATTTCTTATATTTAGTAATAGCTTTTATTTCCTATATTTAGTAGTAGCTGTGATCTAGCCTAACTACTTTTGATTTTACTTCATTATTTTCTGCTACTGACTGAAAACTGTAATCAGAGTTTGGTTGGTAAAAGAGTAAACTCTGTCAGTCTAATAGTTCTTCCCAAAATTGTTTGCATAAACTATAAAAAAGTATCTCTAGCAGACATAAAGTTAAAAGGCAGAGTGAAGTTTGTTTCTTTCAAATGCCCAACAGACTCCTAACTTTCTACTCACTGTATTCAAATGTTTAAAACTCTTCAGGGACCAAATTTATGTATTACTCTCATTTTCAAAATAAAAGTTTTCTTTGACTCCTTCAGCATACTGATCTTCCCTATCCCTGAACTTCATGCCTCCTTGTTAGAATTACTTATTTATATTTTTTAGTCCATTTACTAGTTACCATCATCTCCACCCTGAACTGTGGTCCTTTCCCTTCTTTGCTCTTCTTCTTTTTCCTCAATATAGTTACATATCCATTTTATTGTCAGGATTTCTTCACCAACTTCAGCTCACCATGAGTTTTAACACACCTGAAGCCATTCTTTCAGGACCAAGCCAGGCTTCTGTATTCATCCTCCATTACCTGCTTTTGCTTCCACCTTTGGCACATCTTTAAAATATCCAAGTTGGTCGATGAATGTCCTGTGTATCCACATTAGTTTCTATAAACGACTCCCACCTTTCTTCCTCATTGAATTGTCTCTCTTTGTGTCTTCAGGTGGAGTTAGTCTTTCAGACACATTACCTTGGACAAAAACTGCAGATGGACAATGAACGAGGTCCAGAATTGAATAGGAGAAAGAGAGCAAGCCGGATTGCACTTGGGGAAAATGTGCTTCGACAATTCCAAGCTGTTCCTGACACCAAAACACATAATTTAACACCAATAGTCACCCAATGGGGCTGTATGGCTAGAAATAACAGAATACCACAATCTCTAAAGAATCTAAATTTGGGGTGACACCCAGGGCAATGGGTATAAATAAGTATATGAAAGCATACTGCCAATGAGGAATTACATACAAGAAGTGGCATAAAAGATTTCCAGAGATACAAGTTAGAAAATTAAGCAAATCAGTCACATTTCAAAAACAACTGATGGATAGACTGAGTGCTACCCTGTCATTCACATAACAAAAACAAAAAGCCTGGAGGTCTAGTTTGTTGATTAGCCCTTCTATGAAGGAATCTATAGATTCAAAGCCATTGAAGTACTAAACTAAGTAATTTAAACAAAAGGCAGAGGAATATTGGGATATAATAAAGGGCTCAAGGGAGAGTGCCGTATTTAGTTATGTTATGTTAGGTACGTTCATTCATTCAATAAGCATGTATCCTACTTTGTGCAGAGCATTGTGGTAGGTGTTAGAGGAGAAAGAAGTTTAGGTAACAGCAAATTTCTCCCCTCATGGGGCTTACAGTCTACTAGAAGAACAAAAATTAAAATATATTTCAAAACAAGGTACAGCAGAATCATAAAACAAAGTGCTACACAAGATCTGAAGAAGAAAGTAAACACCAGGAAAATCTGTGAATTCTTCAAGGAGGTGACAAAAAACAATAAAGATCCATGTGATATTCTCTAATCTAAATTTGTAGTAGGTTATGTTGTGATGTTATGCTATATGATGCATCAGCAAAATCAGTTGGCTATAGAAGGAAAGCCCTAGAAAAATCTCATAAGATGTAGAATATAGACAGTCAGTGATGGAGATAAGAGAGATAAAATGGGGTGCTCATGGAGTTTAAGCTTATATAGACAGGGAACTTGTGAGGTTGAGATTATTCCTGGACACATTAGTCAACAAAATGAATAAGGCTGTTCTTTTTTTTTTTTTTTAATTTTCTGAGGGTCCAAGCTACTCCACAACTTTGGGGCCATGACTAGAGAGGGAGAAATAGGATATACCTTTTTCTTGAGTGAAGTCTGACAGATAGTATCATGAATGAGGCTGAATATTATAGGCAAAGGGGAAGGGCCTTCCAGGCAGGGCAAACCCTTTTTTGATATTTTGAATCTTATGCCATAATAAATTCCATGTGGAAGAAAAACCATGAATATAAAATCACACCTTTAAAAATCAAAGGAGAATTAAAGGTTATATATTTCTCAGTTATAGTTGAGGGGAATTCACAATCATACATATATGGCCATGTAACTGTGGATAGAGAGCTAGACTTGGAATCAGGATGACCTAGGTTCAAATCCTGCTTCTGACACCTACTAGCTGTGTAACTATAAGCAAATCCCTTACCCTCTCTGAGTCTCAGGTAAAATGGGGATAATAATATTTGTAGCACTTGCCTTACTGGGTTGTTGTGAGGTTCAAAGTTTGTGCACAAATAAAATCAATGCAGCCTGAATCAGAAAAAAAAGGTATAGATTGGGAAAATGTTTTCATTAAGTAATTCATTCAAGTTGTACATAACAGATTTGCAGTTTCATGTGCAAATAAATAAACAAATGATTTTAGAAAGTAATTATAATAAAAGCCTAATACCTAAAATCTACAGAGAAGTGACACAAAAATACAAAGTTAGGAGTCACTACCCAATAAGGACAGCAACACATCATGTCAAAGGACATGAATAAACATTTTGGTGGTGACGGGAGAAGAAAAAGAAATATAAACTATCAATCATCATCTGAAAATATTCTCTAAATCACTGTAAAAATAATCAAAGAAATGAAAATCAAAACCTACCTGCTATAGAATATTACTTATACCATCAGCCTCAGCTTGAAGCATATGTTAGTTTCGCTAAACTGTTTTTCTCTTTTTTTTTTATTCTTTCTTACAAGGGATGGCTCATTGGATAAAGGAGGGAGAAGTCTATTCAGAAATGAAATTAATGTAAAAACTGATACCAATAAAAGTTTTTAAGTAGTTGAAAAAATGAAAACTACACTGAATTATTACTTCACATCTATCCAGTTAACAAAGATACTAAAAACAGGAAAATTCATTTTTGAAAGGGCTGTGGAAAGATAAACATTTCAATTCCTGGATTACAGAGTTATAAATTAGTTCAGCGATTCTGTGAATCAATTTTCAATTTTGCAAAAAGAAAAACTGTTCATAGATCACAAATTACAGAGTGAGAACTGGAGAATACCTCACCAATCATATAGTACCCATGCCCTTTGACCCAAAAATTCTACTACTGGGATTATATCCTAAGGAAGTTATTGACAATTAAAAACAAAAGTACCCCACAGGCATGAAAACGTTCATAGCAGCATTATCTGTGACAACCAAAAGCTAGAAACAAAATATGTGTTCAACGAATGAGGAATGCCTTAACAAATTATGTTAGAAGAATGTAATACTAGCATTTTATTAGATCATTAAGATGACGAATGTGAAGGATTCAGAGGTAATGAAGAATGGAGAAAGCAGAGTAAAAAAACCAATATACACAATGACTAAGACAATTGTAAATAAATGCAACATGAAGAGGGGACAAAATTCTGCTCAATTATGATAGTCAATGTTAATATCCTACCATCAAATTTAAAGGACACATACTCCCCCCGCCCCAACCCTTTTTGATACCTATCCATAAACTAATTGTTTTTCAGGAAGTGTACTTTATAAACGTAGCTTTTATAAAGGTAGTTTTGAAGTTTATGGGTAAGTGTATGCTGTATCAAAACAAAATGTATCAGTATTTTTCTTTTTTGAAAGATGAGTAGGAATTCAAAAAGCAAATAGGGGGAGGGTGGACATTCCAAACATAGAGAGCAGACTGAACAAAAGCATGGAGGCAGGAGGGCATATAGCATATTTGGGAAGTAGACAGCAAACTGGTTTGCTTGGAACACAGAACACATAGAAATAATCTGAGCTAAGGCTGGAAAAACAGGGTGGTGTCAGAATGTGTAAGGTCTTAAATACCAGGCAAAAGAATTAAATTTTTTTTTCAGAAGACAAATGGGTGCCACCGAATATTTTTGAGCAAAGGAGTGAAATAATAAAAAATTTATTCCGACAGGCATGTGAAGGATTGATTGAAGAGGTACATAATGGAGACAGAAGACTTGGTGAAGATCACTGAAATAGTTCAGTTTGGTAGAAATGAGGACCTTCACAAAGATGATAGTATTGGAAACAGGGAGGAGGGGGTGGAAGCAAGAGATACTGTGAAGACTGTAACTGTAGCACCTAATAATAAATTGGATATGAAAACTAAGTGAGAAGACAAAGGCAGCAGTACAACAAACAAAACAGTGAAATCAGAAAGAGAAGCAGATTTGGGGAGAAAGACAATAAGTCTAGTTTTTGAAATGGTAAGGTAACATCTAGAAAATGCATAAGATTCTAAGGGGTGTTAGTCCAGGAGGAAATGAATTCAGGCTCAAGTAGAAAGGCAAGTGGGTAGGTGGAAGGTAAGCCTGGTGCACTACAAAGCCTAGGGATGAGGATGTTAGTTATCACCACACAAAGCAGCACTGAAGCCATCAGAAGGAATGAGCTTTCAGGAGGAGAGATTATAGAGAGAAAAAAGACGAGTTCTGAGGTTAGTCTTCAATAACACCTGTAACTAGGGAGCAGTTCCAGGAGGAGGACAAAAGGGAGAGAAACTGTGTAGAAGGTTAAAAAAAAAAAAGACCAGGATATTGTACATCACCTAAGTAAGGGAAAGTTAAGAGAGCATCAAGAAAGGATGATCGATACTCCCAAAGACAAGGTTTAAAAAGGGAAAGGCTATAAGGGTCAATCTGAAAGATGTGAGAGGTGACATCCAAAGAACTATTTTTGTAAAGTTTTGAGGGGCAAGGTTAGGGGAGGGAGAAGAAAGAGAAACCAGACTGCAATGAAGAAAATTAGAGCAGTGGGTACAAAGTACAAGTTTGAGAAATTTGTCAAAGGAGTAAGAAAAAATGGAAGGAACTACGAACACAGAAAGACACAAACTACAATCACTATTAGGTTGTTTAATAAATGTTTATTAAATTGAATTGAATTGAATGCTAGCGACAAAGGGAATAATCAAAAGATTCAGGCTCAGGGAGAGGATACTGGGAATTGGATCCAGAGCTGATTAAATAAAGAGCTTTCAAGATCACAGAATCAAAAATCTCAATGCATTCCCTGACGTTTTTATAGACATGGCCTTTGAAGTACTTTATAAAACACCAGAAAAATGACCCCCCTCTACAGTAGCCCAAACAAGTGGTTGTGAAGCCTTTACTTGAAGACTTCCTATGAGAGGAAACTTACTCCACCTGCTGGGTCTACCCACTCTAATTTAAGACAATTATTACGAAGTCTCTTCCTTACATAAAACATAAATCTACTTCCCCACACCCTCCATCCACTGCTCTACTTTGCCCTCTGTGGTTCACCAGAATAAATCTAATCTTCTTTCCACAAACAGCCATTTGACTGCTCTAAAATAGCTACCATGTACTGCCTAACTCCTCAGATCTTCTAGGCTAAACACCTAGTTTCTTTAACCAATCTCCAGGCTTCTTAACGACAGTCTTGGTTGTCTTCCTATGGATGTTTTTAGTGCAGTTCCTTAAATGCGGTATGAAGAACTGAACACAATACTCCAAGTCTCATCCGACAGGGAAAGACTATAAAGGGGCCTTCCCTAATCTTGGTCATTATGCCACTCTTAATATTAGATTTTTCTAGCTGCCACATCACATTGGTGACTCACCCAGAGATTATGGTGTACTAAAAAATGCAGATCTTTTAACATGTGAACTGGTAAGGAGCCATGCTGTCCCATCCTGCACTTGTGAGGTTGATCTTTTTAAGTGTTAAGACCTTACATTAGTTACTATTAAATTGTGTCACCATGTGAAATTTCAGCAAAATGTTCTAAAAGCAAGGTCTTTTCAGACTCAGAATCTGCCATCTGACTTGTGAGTTTTTCCTTCCTATCTCTGTGTCATCTTTGTTCACGGTTCTTTAGAGAAGTTGAGGGACACTTATTTCCTTCAAACTGGAGAGGTGTACAAAAGGAAGAAAATGTATGATTAACATAACATTCAAATAGGTTAAAGACTGTTATGTAGAACTAGGAGTACACCTTCTGTTTTTTTTCCCTCCAAAGGGCACAGCTAGGATGAATGAATAGCAAGAATCTATCAAAAGGCTAATTTCAGATGAACCTAAAAAAGACTTCATTAAAAATTACAACTGGTACACTGGAAAGGGCATTGACTTCGAAGTTAGCGGTCCCCACATTTCAAAACCCACATCTGCTCACTCCATCTATGCAGCCTTGGGTAAGTCACTTAATCTACCTGAACCCCATTCCTCATTTGTAAAATGAGGGGGTTGATTAAATGCCACTAACATAACCCATACAGCTTTATGATTTATAATCCTTCCAAAATGTAACAGGCTACCTCAGAAAGTTAAGAAATTCCTGTCTCTGGAAATGTTCAAGTAGAGGCTTCACATTTGTCAAGAAGGTAACAAACCACCATCTCTCCCCATATACCTGAACCTAAAATAATCAAAATTATTCCTCAGACAGGAAATGGGTTTAGAAATTTGTTTGAATCCTTACAGACTCAAATACATAGTACCACAGTTTTCTATTTGGTTGTGATGTTCTTTGGCTTTTAGGATTTCCGCATTTGGTGAGGGTTTAGATTAAATTACATTTTATGTCTAATTCAACTCTAAGACTACAAAAATTTATAACATATTGAGATGCTTGAGGGAGTTCACACCAAATGACCTCAGTTTTCTTTATAGGCCAGGGAGGCTTGGAGGAAAACTACTACATGAATAGTTTGATATTACAAACCCTCATAAAAGTTACTTACAATGACTCCAGTGTAGTTTTTTCCCTCACTCACCTTTGCAGTTACCCCTTGAGATTTCTCTCTCTACTATCCAAGGCTCTTGTCCTTGTTCCAACTGGGAAATCACATATGGTTTTGAACCCTGATGCCCTGTTTATATGGAAAAACAAAGAATTTGGGTATTTGTGCAGGAGACAAAGAATCATCCTATAAAAATCCAAATCCTTTCTTCTTCAGGGACATTGAAGGATGAGATCATGGCAATATCAAAGATATCCATTTCAGACTTTACAAAGTGTAGACCTCTCAAATGGAAAGAGAGAGTAGAAACACCCTGTTCTTGCACCCAAAAGGTAATCTCAAAAGGGATTAGGATTTTTTGATCACTTAATTCCAAGTAACAATACAAATAAACACTTCAGAGTCCTTTCCCTCACACCTCCATCTATACACACACACACACACATTTAATATCTGAGAAAACAAAGATATTCTAATAGGCAGACTGACCCCGAGTCACACAAGAAACCTACTCTTACCCAGTGAGACCAGGTTCCTGTAGTTCTCCAGCATTACATCCCTATACAGGTATCTCTGACCAGAGTCCAGTTTCCCCCATTCCTCCTGGGTAAAGTCCACAGCTACATCCTTGAATGTCAATGATTCCTAAAATGCCAAAAACATTTCATCTCAACCTGGGGCCATCCATTAACAATACTGAGAAGACTCAGCATCAGAGGGAACAGACAGGGTTATATGTTCGGATAAAGTTTAGGGATCTAAGCCAACCAAATTATTTATTTCCTATTATGTCCTATGCTGGTGACACTAAACATGTATAAGACATGGTCAATTGTCCTTGAAAACATAAAGTTTTGCCTGAGAGAAAAATATACATAGGACAAAATTGGAGAATAGAACACTATACACAGAATTAACCACTAAACTGTGTGAAATAGATGGTAAGGGCAGGCGAGTCCAGAGGAGAGACTCACCTGGCTTCAGGGACAACGGAAGACTTCACAGAACAATGTACTGATGACCAATGACTGCTTGAACTGCTACTCACTTTGACTTAATTTTATGTGTTTCAAAAATATCCAGAAAATCGAGGTATATGGGCCCATGCACTAGTCTAGGAGTTATTTATATTCTTGAAAACAAAAATACAGAGGTCTGCTGTCTCACTAGGGTATACTTCCAAAACATGACAACAGAACCTCCCTACAGCTACCAAAATACAGGACTAATATCTACTTCAAGTGATTTACATAGACATAAAAAAAAACTGCTAAAAGGAACCCAAAAGGTTTTTTGCCAAAGATTACAAAGTCTTGGTGAGAAACTGAAGATCATCCTGACATGGATGATGTTTTCATCACTGCTGCCTATTCAAGGTGAGAGATAAGAACAGCAGATTTCGGAAGCAAACAGCTGCTTAAAAAGATAGCATCTGACAATGGAATTTGGATTTCTGGATCACAGTTTAAGAAGCTGAGCAACAGGCTCATAAAGCTTCTATGGGAACTATAATTGGCTTGGGCTTTTCGTGTGCAAAAATCGTTCCTTCTACTCAAAAACGCAACTCTTCAAACTGAATTCCAGCATCTGTTGCCAGTGTTGTTATATGAGGTGCTGTCATCATAAAGAATCACCTGCCTTCTCCAGCTCCGTCAGGCCAATACACTCAATCCAATGGCACCTCATGTGCTGTTCTGGCTGATGCCAATGGTAGACTATAGGGTAGTTACTAGCGTTCATCTCCCAAATTCACAAGGACCTAGAGCTGATAGGATCTAGACCCTATAGACCATAAAACAAGTTGCACCTACTATTCATTGGATAACCAATCAAGGCACTGTGTGATGCAGGGACCATTCTCAAGGGACTGGGGTTAGGCCACCAAAGAGGCTGTATCTTACATGTATGTCGTTGATAGAAGGAATTCCCCAGGCCTGAATGAGACTACCCACAGTGAAAAGGTATTCTCTGAGTGACTAGAGTGTGCCTATGTGAGAAACCTATTACATTCTAAAAAGAGGCAAGAAAGAACTAAGCTCAAGTCCTGTCTTTGACATATAGTAGCTGTGAGACCTTGAGTAAGTCACTTAACTTCTCAGTGTACTAGGCAACCCTCTAAGACTATAAGTTACAGAGAAGGTGACAACTTTCACTGGTAGGAGAGTATCCTCACCTGGGAGTTCCCTACACAAATGAAAACACAGATCTAGTCACTATCCCTCTCCTTCTCCTCAAGAAGTTTCTAAACTAGAAGTGTATGTGACACATACAAATATGCAGTACTATCTAATAGAGAGTAAACATAGTGCTTAACAGAATAAAGTATGAAAAGGCCTGTATAATGGCAAGTATGCAAGACCAGAGAGAGAGCATTCCAGTTGTATATCAATGAAGGCTTTGTGGAAGAGGTAGCATTTCATCTGGGCCTTATAAGGAACGTTTCAGAAGGCAGAGAAGAGAAGATGGTGTAGGGTGGGGCAAACATATCATTTCTTAAAATAAACAGTAAATTTGGATCTAAAATGTAGACCCTCTTTACTACGATATCAGCAAGAGCATGATCTTTATTTCATCAGTTTGTGGGCATATATAGGACAATGAGAAGACAGGAATTCACTCATGAGAGGTCGACTAGGATGGTGAGAAAACCAGAAAACATGCCAGATCATAACTAGTTGAAGGAACTGAGGATGTTTAGGTAAAGAAGATTTATATGGAAGCAGAGTATCTGTCTTCAGGTATTTGACAATCTGTCACGTGGAAAAGCGACTAGACTTTCTCTGCTTGATTTCAGACGAGAGAATTTGTAGCAATGGATAGAAGAAGCAGAGAATTAGATTTAGGCTTGATGTAAGGAAAAAATTAACGATCAGAGCTGTCCAAGAGCAGAACAGGCAGCCTTGGTCAACTGGGTCAATATTTCTGGTAGGTTTTTAACTTTTAATCCATCTCTAGCAGGAAGTATCTTCCTTCCTTCAAGGCCAAATTCTATGCTACCTCCCCATGAAGTCTTTTCCTGTCCCTCAACTCTAATTCAGGTGAGTGATCTCTCCTCTGATTTATTTTATTCTCCTCTGTCAACACAATTTCTACCTATTATAGAGTAAGCTGGGGGCACCTAGGTGACACAGCAGATAGAGTGCTGGGTCTGAAGTCCAGAATACTAATCTCCCTAAATTCAAATCTGGCCTTCAATCTGATTCTCTCTGCCTGGAATTCCCTCTGCCATTTTCTAACAATATAAATTCTATCTATTCTCAAGTCCAACTGAAATCTCATCTCTTTCAGAAAGCCTTCCTTGCCCTTTCTAGCCACATTGACCTTTTTCTTCTCTCAATTTTTATGACACTGTCTACACCATTTGCTTTGACCTGGTCCTCGTGTACTTCCTTATATTATTTAATTTTTACCTATGGTAAAATTATAGTCATTGTTTCATGAGCATATTTTGTCTTCTCAGGGAAAATGTATGATCCTTGAGAACAAGGATGGTGTTTTCTACTTCTTTTGTCTTGTTCACAGCCCTAAACTCAGTAGATTAGAACATCCTGCTAAATGGACTGAATGAATATCGGGCAGAGAAAAGAGGGACCCTGAGAACACTCCCAGTCTCCTAGGTGAAAACATCTGGGACTCAGTCTCTGGCCTGGACTTTCTGGGAAGAAAAGATCTAAGAAGAGGAAAGGAAATGTTTCCACTACAAAACTGGAGAGATGAACTCTTCTTTGTCCTGAAATATCAACCTACCTGGGATCTGGTAGTCAAGAGCCCAGAAGTCATTCCTTCCCTCTCAGTGCTGCCCTCTTGTGAAGGGCAGATTCCTAAAAAGGCAAAGCTACAAAACAGAAAAGAATCATTAGGAAGATCCTGCCTTGTTTCCCACATTCATTGTGCAGCAAAGGACAGAGAGGTGTGCCCCCTGTTCCAACATTATGAAGAAAGATGAAAGTCAAAGAGAACTTAAGAGCAACCTCATCCCAGTAATCCCATATAATATTAATATCTAACATTTATATCTATTACTATATGCCAGGACCTGTGTTAAGTGATTTATAATTATTTCATTTGATACTCATAACAACACTGGGAGGTAGGTCTATTTTTATCCCAATTTTACATATGAGGAAACTGAGGCAAACAGAGGTTACATGACTTTGCCTTGCCTCACTCAGGTAGTAAGTGTCTGGGGCCAAATATGAACTCAGGTCTTCCTGATTCTAGGCCCAGCTCTCTATCCACAGCAACACCTGGCTACCCCAGATCAGAGTGAAGGTCTGTAAGTACTCTTCTGGGCCCAAACGCTATCAAACGTCCTACATCTTAACAACCACAGCTTCTAGTCCCAATCAAAAACACCTTTCAACATAACCAGATCAGCTGAGGTGTTGTTCAGGTGGCTTTTTTTTATATGCTGCTTACTTGAAAACACCAACTAAATCCAAGCATTTTGATGAATGCTTCTGTTAACAAATTCACAATCTACTACATAATAAGCCCTGCTAATTACAATACTAGAATACCCCCTGCCTTTGACTCTTCCTCAGAATCATCCTTTGTGTTAACTAAAGAACGGGAGTGCAGTTAGCCCTATCAGGGGACATAGGTACCCATCTCACTAATCAAATTTTCTAGGAGAAAAGGTCATTCCACACCAAAGGATGTTGCACTTTTCTGTACTCAAAAGGCAACTGGTCTAGGACACAAACTCCTCTCTGGCCAACTGACCCTTTGGCCCCCCAGTCAGGAATTCTCACCTGTCTCCTGAAGCATTTGGGTGAGATTTTCCAAAGCTAGTTTCTGGATATTCTACTTTCACTCCAATCCTGTTTACCCAAGCAGATTGGTCAGGAATCGTTTCAGCACCGGTCACTTCAACGACCTTACTCAACATTTTTGGAAACTCTGGGCAAAGGTCTCAGAGGTTGGGAATGCATGCTCCTCCTGGCTTGAATTTTTGATTCCCAGAGCTTGGGGGCTCAGTGGTTCTCCAGGACCTTCACTGTGGAGCTGAAATCTCTACTTCTTCATTAGGAAATCCTTCCTCTGGTACTCTGGGCTGGAAACCTGTAGACTCTGTACTTCGATGCTGTGGACAGAGAGAAAATGATAGTCAGCATACAGAACCTAGCAACCTCAGTCATAGTATGAGTCCTGCTTGACACTTCAGAGATAGCCACAAAGTCGGGCATCCAAATGAGCACCTGATGAAATTCATTCATTCAACAAACACTTCGATTAAATTCAATAAGCATTTACTAAATGCAGGACACTGTGCTAGGAGTTGGAGGTACAGACAAGGAAACCTTACTCTTATTCTGGTGGTGCTTATTCTGCTGGAATGCGAATATACAGTAAATCTGATAGTATCTGTGTACCCAACACAAACACATACTCACACCAGAGCTATCGTCTGACACTCACACATTATCTCTTTCTCAGGGGTCGGGAATGGAGGGGATAACATGCCCCCTCCCCGCCCCATCAGGCCGGCTGCGGTCCACAGCGAGGCAGGAGCTGCTGACTGGCTCGCTAAGTACCTGGGACTAAGTCGGGGATTGGCCTAACCTCCAATAAGAGAGGGTTTGGACGCAGAACCAATTATGGCGTCAAGCCTGCGCGCGCATTACCTGACAATGCTCGAAAGTACGCTTGCGCTTAGACAATCTCCTGGGACTACAACTCCCAGAATGACGCGGGCTGAGACGCTTCTGTTTTCCTACTCTCCCTCCTCCTCTGCCCCCCCTCCATTCTCACTCCGCCTCAATCTCCAGTGCCAGGTAGTGGCCATTTGGCAACACCTTTCAGCGCCGGCTCGATCTCCCAAGCCTGAGGTCCGCCACGCCAGAAGCGAAGCTCAGCTTCGGGAAGGGACGCGGAGCAATCTCGCCGCCAATCACGGGCGGAGGTCCGCTTCGCACCCCTCCCCCCCACATCAAACAGTGCTAGGTTTTCTCCATGACAACCGCGTCTCAGCGCATCTTTGTGCATTTCACTGTCCAGAGTTTGGTTCCTATCAGGGCTACAAACCCGCCTCGCTTAGAGGCTGGGCTTCAAAGGGCGGAGAGAACCAATAGGGCCCATAAAGGGCGGGGAAAAACCTCTCGGGGCGGGGCCAGCGAGGGGAGGGGCGGAGCTTTAGAATCTTTTCCCATGAGGAGAAATTAACGTCCAACTACTCAATCTTGAGGGATAAGGAGAAGCCATGTAAAAAACTCCAAATAGTGGGCAAAATAATCTTCCTTAAGCAGGTCTCATTTTGCCACTCTCCTCATAAAACACTTAGAATAAAACACAAATTCCTCAGCACCAGGCACCATGCTAAGTGCTAAGGATACAAAGAAAGGCCAAAAACAGTCCCTACTGTCAAGGAGTTCCTCCTTCCTGATTTTTTTTCTTATATTACTCTTCATATACTCTACATTCAAATCAAAGTGGATTCCAGCTGTTTCTCCAAACTCAGTACTCCAAATTTCGAGCCATATGAGTGCATTTTCCCATTCACAGTGCATTCACACAGCAGGCATGTAACCCCGTGCATGGAATGCACTCTCTCCATAACTCAACCTCCCGGAATCCCTGTCCTTTGCCCAAGTTTCCTCTATGAAATCTTCCCTCATCCTCTTCCTCACCCCCTTAGTGTTCTCTCCTATTTACCTTATATTTATTTCTGTATATGTTGAAATATACAGAAATATTGGCATCTAAGATGCCAATTTGTACTGATAGAATTTTCTACACCAATGAAATCACAGGCAAGGTTTTAAAAAATGGTGGACAGTAATGGGAGTAGCAATGTTAGCAACAACTGTGCTGTTGGCAACAATTGTTTCAGCAGCAGTTGCTAGACAACGAGGATCCCCCCCAAGCCCCACCATCCCAACTTCCTCATAAGCTTCACTAGAACAGCAAGCATGTCCATAACCTCAACCACATGGATCTAGTTTTAGACATAGACCTAAACCAAACCTTCTGGCCTTAGACATACCACAAAAGCCAGCCAATAAGAAAGCAGCACCAACAGGATACTGAGCAGGATGTTTGACCACAAAACAATAGAAGAGATTTTCCCTAAGTGGATGCCTGTGAAGTAATAGCAAAAACTTCTTTAGGTGAACTTATGACGTAGAGAGGCTAATTATACTATCATTATCATACATTAATACTCCTCTCGTGGGCTTTTCTGTATGCATTTTGGGTAGCCAAATGCACAGTTCTACTAAGAGTGTAATCCTCAATAAATGCTTTTGCTTGGGTTGGAAATGGTCTGAGTCTGTGAACTCTTTTGAGACAACCCTGCAACACACCTTGCCACCTCAACAGATAGGAACTAGTTCAGAGACAGGAAACAAAAGATTGGGGGGGGGGGATATATCTTAGAATGGAAAGGTGAAAAATGCTAGGGTACCCAGGACTCAAGGCTAAAATTTGACACCTGATATTTTTATAAATTATCTTGAGGAAAGAGTGAACAGTGAAATCTCCAAGCAGCCATAGAGATGCCAAATCATGGAGAATAAATTTCAAGAGAATATAGGGTTGTGAATGGACAGAAAGATGGAAGTCGAGTTTTAAAGTGGGTAAGTGAGTTGGTTAGTCAACAAGCATTTATTAAGCACCCACTATGTGCTAGTCACTATGCTAAGGACTAGAGAGACAAAGAAAGGCAAACCCCCCCAAAAAACCAGTTCCTGCTCTCATGGAGTTCAAGTCTAATAAAAGAAGCAAAATGTAAATGACTGTGCAAAAAAAGATGTGTATACAGGATAAATTGGAGGTAATCTCAGAGGAAAGGCGCTAAGATTGAAGACTGGGAAAGATTTCTTTTTCAATTTTCTTTTAGGGCTAGCAATAAGGTTAAGTGACTTGCCCAGGGTCACACAGCTAGTAAGTGTCAAGTGTCTGAGGCCATATTTGAACTCAGGTCTCCATGACTCCAGGACGGGTACTCTAGCTACTATGCCACCTAGCTGCCCCTGGGAAAGATTCCTTAAAGAAAGTAGGTCTTTAGCTGGGACTTGAAGGAAACTAGGGAAGCTAAGAGGCACAAATGAGAGGAGAGAGGATTAGTTCCAGGTACGGGGGACAGCCAGTGAAAATTCATAAGTGTATGGAGTTCGGAGATGGAGTGTCTTCTTCAAAGAATAGCTAGAAGCCCAGCGTCACTAGATCACAGAATAGTTGGAGAAGAGTAAGACACAAGAAGACCAGGAAAGTAAAAAAGGCTTTAAGGGGCTTTTAAAACAAAACAGAGGATTTTATATTTGATCCTGGAGGCAATAAGGACTTAACTGGACTTCACTGAATGGACTGTGAAGGGAAGGTGGCATGGTCAGACCTATATATAAGGAAGACTAATTTGTCAGATTTATGGAAGAACTACTGGAGTGGGAAGGTAATACATAAGGCTGTGATACCAACTAGCAGGTTATTGCAATAGTGCAGGCATAAGATGATGAAAGCCTGAATCAGGATGGAGGCAGTATCAGAGGAGAAAAGGGAGTGTATATAAGAGATCTTCATAGTACTAGATACTGATCTTAGAGGGGAAAATAATTAAACTCTAACAATAGGATAACTGCTCTCTGATGTGACCCAAGGAAAGGACCAAAGAGTTATGGTAAATGCTGCTTGAAGACATTGATCCCAAATCCTATATATCTTTTGGTAAGGCATGGAAATAAAACAAAACATCTCACTACCATAATTCAAATATTCGGGTTATCCATGGTGTCAAGATATTAGGAGAAGCTCTATTTTCCAGAGCTAAGGCCCAGCAAACAAGTTGTGGCCTGAGCTTGGCACAACAACAATCTTTTGTATTCACTATCTGGACGATCTTACTCTCCGGCAAAGTCACATAATTATTGCATTGCTTTGACCAACATCAGATGTTCTCTGAGCTCTGACAAGCACTGGACAAGCTTGGATAAGTACCCATATTTCAGTCATGAAGCCCCAATATGAATCAAACTTGTCTCATTGTTGCAGTTACCTCTCACTGTCAGGGCTACAGCTTGCTGCATAGCCATTGGTATGAGTATTGAGATCTACCCACACTGACTTGGGTACCCCAATGAGGGGCAGGGCCCTGACACATGTGTCTAATTTGCCTCCTTACTTGCAAGCTATTTCCCTCACTTTGAAATTAAACTTCTGTTTGATTTCTGACTCTCCTGTCTTTAGCCTGCTTTGTTTGGCTCTGGCCATCCTCAGGCCAGGTCAGTTCAGCTGACAACAGAGTATAAAACCACAAGCAACTTATTAGAGTCCTTCATCCTGGAAAGACATAAGGTTAAGAAAGGTCTGTGTTAATGTCTATGAACTCTTGTGATAGGTTATGGATATATAAAAGGTGAATTTGTTCATATGATACAATAGCATTGTAAAGAAAAATAATGTTCAAAGACTTGAGGATTGTGATTAATGAAATGAACAACCATAATTCCAGGTGCTGACACTCACTATCCACCTCCTGAGAATGAGATAGAAATTTTTGGACAAGGCCAATGTAGGAATTAGCATTGCTTTACTATGCATATTTGTTATAAGGGTTTTGCTTTCCCTTTTTCCCCCCCACCCTTTTTGGAGGGAGAAAGTCAATAAGGTTGGCCAAAAAAAGGAAAGGGAGGAAAAAAGGGAAAAGGGGGGGGAGAGGGAAAAAGAGATTGAAAGTCTTTAAAATGAGCAAAAGCAAATAGAAGAAAACACAAAAAGGAAAAGCAGCTTTATAAGTTATGTGTTTAATTTATTACATACTTGAAAGGAAAAGCAAACTGTACATAAGAGATTTACAGTTTTGTGTGTTCTATTTTACTTTGCATAAGAAAATACTAATTTTATTTATGGTTGGTTAAATTCTTAATAAAAAATACAATTTAATATGTAATGAAGGGAATAAAAAGAAATTGTTCATTAAATCTCTGTGAGCTAAGGGCTCTTTGAAAGAGAGAGAAAAATCTTTTTTAAGCAAATAAGAAGCCCTAATTCACAAAACATCTATTATTCTTGAAAGATTGAAGAAAGTTGTAGGGTCAAGACAGATCTGAATAAAATATAGAGTTTTTACATACCAACTTATACCCAATTTTTATATTCTTATAAACTTAAACTTCAGCAAATCCTTTAAGATCATTAGAAAAATTGTATCCTCATAGATTGGGTTTGTGGTTTTATTAAAGTTTGGCTAAATTTTGGTGGAAGAACCAGGATTAATGCATGTTTTCTTTGTACAAACACAATTTTTAAAAAATGTTTTAAAGCCATCTCTCTGTGTTTGCTGTTCCACAGTTTCAGAGGATTTCAAATTCTATGGAGAACGATACCAAGGTGCTACTTCAGTTATTAGAAGCTATCAGCACCATGGTCAGGGGTAGCAGCACCACACAAATAGCAACTGGCTGAGTGAAAGCCCAAGGCTTGGGGGGGTGGGGGAAGCAACGAACTGACACAGCTGAACTTAATTGAACTGAACCTTCATTTCTTCAACTTACAGAAGAGATATTATCAATGATTTTTAAAAGGGGGAAGAGCTGTTACAGATTGTGAGTATTCCAATCCCGTTCACTGATTATGGTGACTTTAGGCATTTTGGATAATTTGCAGAGTGAGACCCAGCACCAGGTAAGACTATGGTACTCACAATGGTGTGGTTCCCTCATTTGGATTTACTGAGAAGAAAATTCCCATACATAGTCATTTCTCTGTTTGACTCTTCTGGTATACTAGTTGACAAAAAAGCAACAGGTAGAGAGGTAATGTATATGTATATCACTTCCCCAGTTGCCTGGTGTTCTATGTCAATGCTTGGCATTTTTCCTTGGATGGTAAGGGTTTAGTTTTTTATGTAAGGTTTGCTATTGTGATGAGATAGTCTTTCAGAGACAGATTCAAGTACATTTTCGATATAACACTTATTCTGAGACTCTGCTTCATCATCCTAAGGTTGTGTTTTTTAGACAAGGTGAAATGCAAGTGCAGGATATAATGGTAGAGTGGATCAAGGGATGTCAGGCGGTGGCAAGCAAAGGACTTAGCCAAGAAAAGTGTCAACATAAACTCAGAAAAGAAGCCCAAAGTGTATCTAATTAGTTGGAGATGTAGGACCAGAACCTAGGGTTTTTGAGTCATACACAGTATTTAAAAAAAAAACCCCACACACATATCAGGCATCCTTGTCCCTGTCAACATTATCATAGCATTGTATACTTCAACTCCATCTAGTCCAACTCCTTGTTAAGTGATGTCATATAGTCTACCTTGTCCAAACCCCTTCCATCTCAAACCCACAAACACAACCTTTGGGAGCAGCTATAAAAGGCCAATGATTATGCAGTTTGCATTTTACATTGTTCTGTTTTACCTTGAATCCTAAGGTTCTATCACAGAGCCTTTAAGCTTGGCATTAAATATTTACTGAGTACCTATGCTATGCTAGTTGTGGAGTTTAATGTGTATCTCACATAGCCTCTTCCTCCTATTCTCCTTTTTGTCTTCACATAGAACCACTTAATTGATTATCTCATCCAGTCATTAAAAATACTTATGATTGGCTATAGAGTAATAACAATAACTCACAGTTATATAATATTTTAAGATAGCAGTTCTCAAACTTTTTGTTCTCTAAACCTTTTTACACCCTCAAAATTAAATTAATTAAATTAAAATATCTAAAAACCTTTGTTTATATGGGTTATATCTACTGATACTTACTGTATTAAAAATTAAAATATTTCAGTATTTTTATGAAAATAGTTTTGATCTTGTGGATTCCCTTAAAGAGGAGTCCTTAAACCCATTAGTGGTATTGTAAATGTTTAACAACTAGCACTCCAAAATGGCTATTATCAGAAAGAAGGAAAAAAGAATCTTATCAAACAAATATCTGACTTATTTGCTAAATGAGAAGAGATGCCTAGCAAAGGCAACTAGGCCAGGATATGAACTTGTGTAAAATCTTATGAAAAAGGATAAGGAGTGCTTATAGTCAATGTCATCGTGTAAAACAGAGCAGCAGTGGAGAGTAAAACCTTTTAAAAGGAAATTTGGCAAGATAACCAAGTAAGTAAAGGTCAATTAATGATGAAAATGGTAAGAGAATTACAAGTAGAAGAAAAATGAAAAAGATTTACCAATAAAAAATAATTATAACAAATTTTTTCTCAATGAATAACAATGGAATTATCTCATTTGCTGAAGTTAGTCATTATTTCAATTATTTTTGGTTGCTCTCTAGGGTACAACATCATCATGTCAACTGCAAAAGTGATAATTTTTTTCTTCTTTACCTATGCTTATTCCAACTTCTTTTTCTTATCCTTATTGATAACATTTCTAGAGTTATGTTAAATAGAAGTGGTAACAATTGATATCATTGCTTTCTTCTTGATCTTATTGGAAAGGATTCTGGTTTTTCCCCATTACATAAAATGCTGGCTCTTGGTTTTAGACACATACTATTTACCATGTTAAGGAAATGTCCATTTATTTCTGTTTCCTAGTGACTTTTTTTTAAAGTAAAAATTGATATTGTATTTTGTCAAAAGCTTTTTTCTACAACTATTTATACAAGCATATGGATGTTATTAATATGATCAATTGTGTTTATAGTTTTCCTAACATTAAACCAATGCTGCATTTCTGTTATAAATTCAACTTAGTTATAGTGCATAACCTTTGATTTTTTTATGATAGCCTTTGTACTAATATTTCATTTAAAATTTTTGCATCAGTGTTCATTAGAGCTATTGGTTAATAGTTTTCTTTCTGTATTTTGATTCTCCCTGGTTTAGGTATCAAAGCCATCTATGTGTCATAGAAGAAATTTGGTAGGATACATACATTATTTTTTTCAGTTTGCGTAATATTGCATTTAACTTTTCTTTGAACTTTTGATAGCATTCACTTGCAAATCCATCTGACCCTGTTTTCTTTTAGAGTTCATTAATGACTTTTTCCAATATCTTTTCCTGAGATTGAGATACCTTCTAATTTTTTTTCCTGTTATTTGGGAGTATTTTGTGCTTTTGTAAATATTCCTTTATTAAATTTAAGTTTTTTATTTTATTGGCATAGAGTTGGGCAAAATGATTTCTAACAATATGTCCTTTTTTGTCTTCATTTGTTGTGAATTCACTTTCTTCATTTTTGATCTTGGTCACTTGGTTTTCTTCTTTTTCATCAAATTAGCTAACAGTTTATCTTTTTTTTTAAGATAGCTTTGTTAATGGGATTTTTTTTTGCTTTCATTTTTGTTAATTTCTTTGATAATCTCTTCTTTGGTTTTCAGGATTTCTATTTTGGTCTTTAATTGGGGTTTTTTAATTTGTTGACTTTTTAGGGTTTTTTAATTGCATGCGCAATTAATTGACCTGTTCTTTCTTTTGTTGATGGAAGTGTTTAGAGACAGAAAATTTCCCCTCACGACTGCTTTGGCTGCATCACAAAATTTTAGTAGTTTGCCATTATTATTCACAAAATTATCTATTGTTTCCGTGTTTTGCTCTTTGACTCAGCAAAGCTTCTCTAGCTTAAGGTTAATTTTTTACTCTTAACTCCTGACTGTACTCCACTATACTCACATCCGACCTCCCATTGCCCCCTTCTTCTCCCCCCACAGTACTGCCTGCTGAATGTTTCTGAGGCTGGAGATAAACCAACCTCACCTGCCCTTTCATTTTCTCCTTTGCCCCGTTCCTCACTTCATTAGCAAACCAGGGCGCTGTGCGGGACCCTGAGAAAGAAACGCTAGCAAGCCCCACTCCTCTAAAGTCCCTGACAATAGCCCCGCCCTCCATTGGCTCCTCCCCCTTCAGTGTTCCCTTAGGGTAAACCTAAGTAGAAGCTCCTCCGTCAGAAACGGACCCCTCAGTTTAGAGGGAGCATCCAAAGAAAATGTCTTTCAGGTCTCAGGACAGGTGAGGGGCGGGGGAGAAAAAAAATGAGCAGTTCCTATGGAAACAGACTGTGATGGTGGACTTTTGAACGGCAGAGAAGTTGCACCACTTCCCCTCTTCTCTAACCTAGCCAATGGAGACCAGAGCCTAGATGCTGGGCAGGGATTAAATGTCAGTTCTAGAACCATTTTGCAAATGAGAACCTCTATAGCGGTTCGGAGCTGGGGAAGGGGTGACGAGAGGAAGAGGGGAAAGCCCTCAGCCCTTAGCATTCTGGGAATTGTAGTCCCTAGGCCTCTCTGCGCAGCTGTGCCGCAGGCTCTCGCCTCTAGATGCGTGCGCATGCTCACCGCCATGACTGGAAAAGATGATTGTCGCCGAGTCGCGTCTGTGTCAGTCTAGGCCCCGCATCCGGTGACCAGGTATTTAGTGACCGAGCGTCCGTCCCCGATACCCACTCGCGCTCTCGCCCTAATAGGAGCAGGTCCGGGAGGGGAAGAAAACGGCTTGTGTTCCCTGGGCGTGACCGCTTGGGCCCTGGATGTGCGCGGCTGGGCCTGCCCTGGGGGTGCCGGGGCCTGTGGCCGCGCCGTGTGGACGTCTGGCCGCTTCCAGCAGCTTTGCTTACCCTGTCTGACCACAACACCGCGTGCTGCCTGTAGAGTGTGAGCTCCTTGAGGGCAGGGACTGTTTCAGCTTTTATCGTAGGCACTTAATAAATGCTCTTTGACCGAATGAATGAGTGACTGAAACTCACCTTGTGTCCGTTTTGTATATCCAGGGTGTCTGGCCATCTCCGCAGGTCTCTGAGGGCCTGCTCTGACTGAGGCTGCTGGGCCCCTCCTGCTGACTCCTTCCCGACTCTGCTAATCGGCCCTGGGTAGCTACAGGGGCAACAGAGGGAGGACTCATTCCTGGGGAGACAGATCAGAGAGCCCCACAGTGAAGGAAGGTCCAAGCTCTGCAAGAAGGTGAATGTGGAGGAAGATGCCACATCTGACTTGAGATCTTTGACTAGAGCTTTGGGGCAGAAAGGAGCAGGTCCTGGAGCTGCTGGTGCTTCAGCAATATTCTGACCCACCTGCCTGGTTAGATAGCAATTGGGTGACAGCAGAACACCCAGAAGCCATTGAGAAGTGGCTGACCGTGGAAGATCTGACCCAAATGCTTGGGGAGAGAGGTGAGAATTACAGAAGGGGAGGGAAGGTGACAGGTACCCCAGGATGGGAAGAGGAGAATGTAACTCAAAAGAAGGTGTGTGAATTTGGGAATAGGCCAGGAGGGAAGTTATCAACATTTAAGGATTATCCCAACTTTGTTTAACTTTTTTTCCCCTACTGTGCCCCTTTCTGCTGGCCCAGTACACACATAGAGATTCTTATCTTTCCAAGTCCAAAGGCTCTGAACTTGTTTGGTCCCACAGTTATCATCACCTTAATATCTGGAGTCATGAGGATTCACCTTCCTATTCTGTCTCAAATAGAGAACAATTCTGTTTCCTCTTAGATCAATTTGCAGTTTTTCCACAAAGAACTTTTACTGAGAACCTAAGAGAAAACACAAGGAAAACTTGACTCTAATAGAAAGTTTCTAGTATTCAATTATCTGAATAATGTTCAAGTCTTTCCCAGAACAGATTCTTTGGTCAGCAGAAGCTATTATGTTTAGCTAGCTCTTGCAGGGCATCTGACCCTGGTTCCTCTTTATCTTAAATCCTGTGTGGGGAACCTTGCTGCACATTTCCCCTTTGTAAACTTTAAGTGTTCCCTCTCTATTCCCTCTTGCGTTTCCTCCTTCGCTACAGGGAGGGTCTGAATTTGGTGCATGGATCTCAGGTGATGAGAATTATATATATATGCACATATACACACACATATAAATTGTTTTTATATCACCTACAATTCCCAATATATTCTTTCCCCTTCCTACTCCCAGAGCGCCATAAAGAAGAAAAAGGAAGTTCAGGAAAACTGACCACCAAATTGAAAAAGTCTCATGTACACAGTGTTCAATACCCTTAGGCCTCCACTTTTGCAAAGAAGTAGGGAGAAGGTACATTCTTTTACCTCTCTTTTGAGCTAAGGTTGGTTATTAGAGACAATATATTTTTAATTAGTTAATGGGTCAGGTTTCATTAGAAAGAGGAGGAACCTATTACATATCAATAATTATAATTATGTTAAAGTCATGACCAGTGTTGTCAGGTTGTTATTACCGTACTATGATATATATTATGCTTTTTAAAGAGTACAAAGATCCTTTTCTTTCATTTTTTTTTTGTTATGAACTGACCAACATCAGCAAACATGAACATTGCAATACTTCAAAGATACTTTCCCATTGAGTATTCTTGGATTAGAGAATAGGTAGATCTCTCTGGCCCTGTGGTATGGTGAGCTCAGTGAGTAAGAATGTTTGGAATCTCAATATGGGCCCCTTATGTTATCCTTCAGCCACATCTTTGCTCTGCTTTGTAGCATGTCCCCTCAAGCCAAGGTTCTTCCCAACATTCACCATTAGCTGCTCTTGGTGGTAATCTGGTGGAGAAAGAGTAGAGGGAGAGGAGAAGGATTATCCAGTCATACCTTCTTTTAAGCCATTTTCTCCGAAAGCTTCTGTCATCCTAGCCAAATATCAAATAGTCAGTACGTTTAGCTTTTTACTTCTCAGAAAGTTTTCTCATTAGTTATCTCATTTGGTCCTCCCAAGGACCCTGTAAGTCAGGTAAGGTAGATATTATCATCTTTCCTGTTTTACAAGTTTGGAAACTGAGACTCAGATAGGTCCAGTAAATTACCTGCAATTTCATAATTAGTGGGAGAACCAGGACTTAAATCCAGGCCTTCTGACTTTGGTTCTGTGTTTATTTCAGTAAGTGATATTTCTCCCTGATTGGAAACCTCATGTTTTATATCTATGAAGCTGAAGATTGTGAATTGGGGGAAAGACGCAGCAGAATGTTTTGATGAGCTTCACATTAATAAAAGCTTTCAGAACTACACCTTTATTTGTCTGGCTGTCTTTGAAAGTGTACTTTCACTCGGGCTGTAGCCATTAGGCCATTACACCTTGAAACTATTAGGAACACAAAGATAGACTCTGGGTCCAATATGGCAATGCCTGTGGTTCTCTCATTGGGAATGGGGTTAACTCATGGTCTGCCTTGGTTCTCCTTCCTCCATAAGGAATGTGGGGAATCACATCCAACTGGCATGTTAGTCTAGCATGTGGTCTGATGAGTCTGGGAACCACAAAGCAGGAGGGTTTCCCTCATGGCTCCTTTCTCTTCCCCAGCTCTGCTTTCTCAGGACTCTGCCCTTCCCCAAGAGGGGAGCATGGAGGAAGAGAGAATTAACTCTGGGCTCCTGACAGCCAAATCCCAGGTGAGTTGGGGTTGCTTCTCTCTTTTGAAATGCCAGCTCAGGTGTCAGAGGCTAAATACATTTCCTCTCTCATCCTTCTGCTTTTCTGCCCAAGGACATGAGCTCCAGTTCTTTTTAGAGGAGTTTTTAGTATTTGAATGTTCTCGATTTGCCTTTCTCAGTGTCCACCTCAGTATTCTTGTTCTCTTTGCCCAGCATCCATTCAACCTATTAAATAGGCGGTTCAGAGCTACTATACTATAGTATGTTCACGAGCCTGTTAATAGAACAAATATATGACATGACAGTCTTCACTCTCAAGAAGCTTACTTTCTCTTAGACTCTTAATTTCCTTATCTGTAAAAATAAAGGAATTAAACTAGATGATTTTTAAGGCCCATACTACTCTTGAGAGACCAAGGGAATTTATGTGGTTTACCCAATACTAGACTGAGAGATAGTTAATTGAACTTGATTAGAACCTGGGACTTTTGACTCTTTATCTGGTATTCTTTTAACTAGCTGAAGCTCCGTAGGGAAAAAAGACACACACAAAATAATTATTTTTATTATAAATAAAAACATAAATATACAGGTAAATGCCAAAATTAATGGCATAGACAATAGATAAAGGAATTCAGATCAATATGGGCCAGAATGGCAAAAGAAGATTTTCTATCGGAATTGGGATTTGAGCTGGCCCTGAGATTAGATAGATTTTGTATAATTGGAAAGGACTGGAGAGGGCATTTCCATAAACAAGACCATCATGAACAAAGGCCCAGAGGCAGAGTAGGGACCGGCTACATTGGCCTGGCCAAAGTGGAAGGATCATGGTAGAGAGCAGTGGAAGATGGATTGAATATGTAGGGTAGAGTTTTATTATGGAGGGCCTTGAATGCCAGGTATCTAGTTTATAGAGACTTGGGGAGAAAAAAGGTTGCAAAACCTACATTTTCATGAAGTAATCTAGTCAATCTTAACTGTTGTGTTCTGGCAATTAGTTCTAGTTATAATAGAAAGTCACTGGACTTAGAGTCAGAAGACCTTGACACATACTGTCTGTTGGGCCATGGGCAAGTCATATAACTTCTCTGAACTTTAAGTTTCTTCTCTGTTAAATGGAGATAATAAATAATACATATACTGTTTACCTCAGAGAACTATTGTGGGAAAAGTGTTATGTGAGCCTTGTAAAGCACAATGTAGATGCGGAAGTATTAATATAATTATTATTACATTCATCAATATTAAATTCAGTTCAGCAGGCTACTGTTCAGTTCAGCAGGTGGCTACTGTCTTCAATGTTAGGTCTATAGACATAAAATGGCACTAAAGCTTAAGTAACTTCCAGTGTTATGCCTGGGGAAAGTAAAGGATGGTGTACATAGCTAATTATAATACAAGATAGAGACAAGTGCAGAGGAGAGATCCAAAATAGCCTAAGAAAATTAAGGGAGATGGAGAACACTTTCATTTGGCTGGCGGAGGCTTGCTTCATGAAGGAGGGGACTACTGAACTAAGCCTTTGAATAAAGATAAGGATTTTAAAAGACAGAGAGGAGGGAGAGAGTACTTCCAGGCATGGGGAGCAGCCTGCACTGATATATGGAGGTAAGTGAAGTCTTAAAAATGAGGAAGTAAGATTGGGGAAACTTACAATCTAGTTTGGAATGCAGCAAGGGGAATAATGTAAAATGAAGGTGGACAAGTCAGAGCCAGATTGTGGAGGGCTTTAAATGCTAGATCAAGGACTTGATTTTTATCTAGGAGCCAATAGGGAGCCGCTGATAATTTTTGAGTAGGGGAGTGATGTCACCAATACTCACTACCACCCCCACTATCATAGTTTAGAACAAGTGCCGAAAGTAGGGATTTCATTTTCATTTATCTAGGTTTCTTGTGTGGGTCATAGAACTCAAAGGCCAAATAATCAAGTATTCTAATGTGACACATTATTGTAAATGCACATCTGATTTACGATTAGAGTCCTGTGCAAGCATTAACATTAACATAGTACTTTAATGTTGGCAAAGCATTTTATATACATTATCTCATTGAGCCTCAACAATCTTGTGAAATGGGTAAGAGTATTATTACCCCACTTTTATAAATGGGGAAATTGAGACTCAAAAGTATATGACTTGCCCATGACCTCTAACACAACTAGTGTAAGTGATGAGATTTGAGTCTTAAGTCTTCCTGACTATAGGTGCTGCACTCTTCTAAAGCATGTTGCCTGCTCCACTGTATGAAGCTGACATGGCCACATCTGTGCCTTAGGACAATTAACTTTGACTGCTTTGTGAAATGTGGTTTGGAGAGGGGAAAGACTCAAGGTAGAGAGGCCAGTTATGGAGCTTTTAAAATCATCTGGGCAGGAGAAGCTGAGGATCTGAACTAGAATATTGGTGGTGTGAGTGAAGGGAGATGGATAGGGGAGATGTGGAGGTAAAATTTCCAAGATTTGGCAATGAATTGGGTGTAGGGGCTGACATGGAGAGAAGAGGCAAAGATGACTTATACACAAAACACACACACACACACACACACACACACATACATACATACATACGTATATAGCCACACAAATACATCTATAGGTGTAGCATAATATTTGAGGCAACAAAGAGAGGACAGTTTATATGCATATACAGATATGTGTGTTGTATATATACAACACATATATGTGTGTATGCATGTGTATGTTTTATATAGTGCATGTTGTACATATACAGGCATATATGTATGAATGTCTCTGTATATATATAGATAGTCTGTACTTTCCTGTGTTTTGTTAAGTTGTGCTTTTGGAAATGACTTTGTAAAATGATCACTATAAAGTAGATCATAATATTCCTGTAAGTGTAGTGTTAAAATTAGGGATTTTATTGCTGACCCAGAACTCAGAATCATAGGACATTAGAATTGGAAGGCACCTCAGACATCCTCTAGTCCATAGCCCTTATTTTATTGATAAGGACACTGAGGCCAAAAGAGATGAAGTGATAAGGTCATGTGTTAATGGTAGAGCTTATTCCTTACAACCCTGTGAAATAGTGTATTATTATTCCCATTTTACAAATGAAGAAATTGAGGCTTGGAGAGGAAACTTGTCCATACCCAATATATGTCAGTTAGATGCACCCAGGTCTTCTGATTCCAGGAGCTCCTTTTGTTGTTTGATGAGATAAATTACATATTAATAAAGCTAAGTTACAACTCCATTTGTAATTTTCCTAATTGCTAAGTCCTTTACATTCCACATAAACAGAGCTATACTGATAGTTAAGTGTCAACTTATCATTAGAACTTATCTTTACCTTATGGTCTGCAACCTTAGTGTCATCCTTGTCTTCTTCACCCCGCCCCCCTCCCACCCCCCCATCCAATCAGTTGCCAAGTCTTCAATTCTCTGTGCCCATCTCTCTTATCCATCCCCATCTCTCCCTTCATACTGGTTACTGCCTTAATTAAGATCGTTATCACCTCTTGCCTGGATTATTGCGGTAACTTAATTTTCCTATATCACAGAGTTAGTTGATCACATCATTTCCTTGGCTTCTTATTGGCTAGGGGATAGAAAGGTGTCACCACCACCCAGCTCCCCACCAGGTGCTGGCATTTACCCTCCACAGTCTGATTCTAATCTGCCTTTCCACGTTTATGTTATTCTCCTTCACATACTTTGTGTTCCCACCAAACTAGCCAAGAAGCATTCTATCTCCTTTCTCTGCACCTTTGCAAGGCTGTCTTCCATTTATGTAATGCGCTCCTTCCTCACCTCTGCCTTTTAACATCTTTAGCTTCAGTCCCCAGCTCAGGTGCCAACTCTTATGCAAATCACATCTCCTTTTTTTGCTAACCACATCCACTTTTCCCTTCACTGTGCTCCCTTCTCCCCCAGTTAATGTTCTCTCCCTCACTACATTATCTTGTATTTACTTAATTGTGTACTGTTGGATTGCACAGATGGAATATAAGCTTCTTGAGGGCAGAGGTGTGTGTGCGTGCGCGCACGTGCATGTATGTATCTATCCGCAGTGCCTCACATAATACTTTGCAAAGTATTATGCACATAGTGGATGCTTAATAAATATTTGTTAAATGGTCACATGATTTTAAAAACCCACATTATCAATCCAAATCTTTTGGCCATTTTCATAAATTACAGTGAATTTCAGCTTTATTTTGTTATCCTTAGCTTAGAATTTGGAACTAGAACAGATGCTGGGTCATTTGGCCCAAACCACTTACATTGCAAAGACTTAAATTGAGACCTGTGGAAGGAAAAGTGACTTATTCTGGGTTCCATGGCTAGTTCAGGGGAGAGTCAAGGTTAAAACCAAGATCATTGGACTGCTAGTGTAGCATTCTTTACTCTATGCTGCAGCCATCTGATTGTTGGAAAGAATGTTTTTTTCTTTCCTTCAATTCAAATGACAAAATTAATTGTGAATAATAACTAACCTTGAATTGTAGTTGCTGGTATCCAGAAGCTGTGGAAATTTGTGATAATAGTGTCTAGGATTTTTTTTTAATTGTTCAGAAATTATGGTATATTTGTACTGGCTTACAGGAAAATCCTTTTTTAAAAAATCATTTTAAGTCCTCTAGATGATAGGAGAACTCATCTTCCTGAATTCAAATCTGGCCTTAGACACTTACTAGCTTGTGACCTTGGGCAAGTCACTTACCCTTGTTTGCCTCAGTTTTCTCATCTGTAAAATTAGCTGGAAAAGGAAATAGCAAACCATTCCAGGATCTTTGTCAAGAAAACCCAAATGGGGTCACAAAGAGTCAGACATGGCTGAAAATGACTGAATAATAACAAACAACAACAGATTGTAAACTCTTGGAAGGTTGGAGCCATGCTTTTTGTATCACCCTCATCAGCTAACATAATATTTTCCACTGAGTATGTGATCAACAGTAGAGTTATAAGATTTTAAAGATGTAAGAGACCTAAAATCTAAAGTAGTACTTGTTGAATAAATAAAATTATGTGATATCACTTTAAAAAAATTGAATTGTGAACTCTCATAATGGCGTTCTAAGGTTGAATCTTTAAAAAGATGCATATTTCAACCCCCGTTCACCAAAAATCTGAATTTCCAACCTATTTTATTCTTAAAGCAAGACTAAAAAGTTGAGAAAAATTTCAAATTCTTGAGTGATCTGTGTTGTACAAAATTTCATTTTTGAGACAAAAGACAGAGACTTATATTTCATGCATAAAAATATTTTTTTTGCTTGAAAATTCCCCAACTTTTCTATCTCTTAAGTATTGGGGATTTCCATTAGAACTATTAAATATTCAAGTCTATTTTTAAAAAAACCTTTTAAAACTATTTTTTTGTTTCAATGAAACAAGAGTTCATTGAAAATGTGCTCTTATCTTAGTGGAGATGGATATCCTCACATACCTCTGGATTTAGAATCATCGGTCATTTTTTGTTGTATTTAAAAAACTTATGCATTCTATTACATGTAAGATCATAACAAGATTTCTTAAGAGATAAATCCAGTGATAATTTTATGTAATAATTCTCTCAAACTCAATATTGAGACAATAAAACAGGATAATATGTGCCTGTAACTATTATGGAGGATCTCCTCCACAAAATTCATAGGAAAGCTAGATATCTTACAGACTGGTTGGGTACTTTTGTGTGTTTGCTGATTGTAGCAAGCTCTGAAACACTTCAGGCTCTCTTCAGAGAAATGCCTGTCCTCTCATAAGATCTTAACTAATAATACACCATTCTTGATAAAGAATGCATATCACCCAGATTATATATGGATGGACAGCCCATTCAGTTATTGTATCAGCATATATATTTTGCACAAGTGCTATAACTAGACATGAAATGGGTCCAGAATTGAACCTGAATAGGAGAATTGGATAAGTTGCACTTAGAAATTACACAAAGCTTTCAAAAACCTTAAGATGCTCACCAGCATGTCTTTTCAGTGCCAATATTTTCCCAACAATGCTACGTGACTATGAATCATTAAATACTATCATCTTCAAACAATCAAATTTGTGGGTGACCCAAAGGAAAATAGAGAAACGTAGGGTCACCTTAAATAGCTGTATCACTTTGCTAATGACTACATTCAAGATATTGCGTAAGAGACAAAATTCTCATGACAGAAGGCAAAAGGCTGGTCATGTAGCAAGAGCAAGGGAAAATAGGTGAATGGCCCAAATGTTGTACTGGAATCCACGAAATAACAAAAGACCCAAAGGAACTCCTCTGGTACATTGGATGGATCTTCACATGGATGATTTATGACAGGACATAGACTTATACTGTATAGATTGGGAAGGCATATTTAGGTTGCATATTGCACTAGAAGAAGGGACATCAACATCAACACTTATTACAAATCCATCAGAGTTTCAAAACTTAGATTAAATAAATCAGGTCATGTTCAGTAAAACATTTGGAATAGCCTCTCATGTTCTCCTTATAGACAGAATGGAGGGATGTGGGCTCTGAGATGTAGGCTAGGTAGTTAATAGCTCAGATAGATTTGAATTTGGTCAAATGATCCAAATTGGTCAGTGTCATCTTGGAAGTAGGTGTTGAGTGTCCTAGGGATCTATTCTTGGCCATATGCTGTTCGGTGTTCTTATCAGTTGCTTATCTAACTAGGCATAGAAGGTGTATCTGTAATAAATAATTGAAAAGTTGAATAAAAACTGATTGTTCTCTCATGTCATGTGTGTGTCTACATTCTTAACAAAAGGTGTATGATCCTTAATGGCAAAAACCATGTTTCATACATTTTTTTTTTTTGGCAACTGGGGTTAAGCGACTTGCCCAGGGTCACACAGCTAGTAAGTGTCAAGTATTTGGTCTGAGGCCGGATTTGAACTCAGGTTCTCCTGACTTCAGGGCTGGTGCTGTATTCACTGTGCCACCTAACTGCCCCTTTCATACTTTTAAAATACTAATTACATAGTAAAAAACAATTTTTGCTTAGCATCCTATATGTTTATAGTATCTCAAAGTTTCAAGGGACATCTAAGGTCATCTGAGACAAACCCTCTTTGAAACATTAAACTTCTATTCACCATTCCCCCTGTGGGCATCTCACTTTTTCTAGAAGACCTACAGTGATGAGGAACCCACTTCTCCTCATAAGCCCATTTTACTTTTGGGCAGCTCTAATTATTAGAGAGTTTTTTCTTCTATTAGGAAGAAATCCACCCATTGATCCTACTTATGACCTTCTAGGACAAGTAGAGTGAATCTAATATGTCTTCCACATGAAAACCTTTGAGATATTCCCATGCTACTGGTCAACAAGCATTTACTAAGTGCTTTCCATTCCAGGCACTATACTAGATGTTAGAGGTAGTCACAAAAATAAGTCCCCGTTCTCAAGAAGCTTACATTCTAAGAGGATAATACAACATTCACAAATAAGTCAATACAGAATATATAGAAAATAAATATATGGTGATAGGGGAGTACTAATAATTAGGGGAATTAGGAAAGGCCTCTTCAATGAGGTGGCACTTGAACTGAGCCTGGAAGGGAGCTGGAGTTTCCAAGAAGCAGAGATGAGGAGACAGCATTGTAGGCACGTAGGACTGCTTGTGTAAAGTCACAGAGGTGGGATATGGAGCATCAAGTAGGGACAAGAGCAAGTAGGCCAGTGCGGCTGGAGCATAAAGTGTGTGAAGAGAAGTCATGTATAATCAGCCTGTAAAAGAGGCTGGAGACTTTATTCTAAAGGATACACACAGAAAAGTTTGTATTTTATTTTTAAGAATAAACCAGTGAAGTTTCTCTATTAGAGAAGTTGACATGGTTACACCTGTGCTTTAGGAATGTCAATTTGGCAACTGTGTGGATGTGAATTGCAGAGGGAAGAGACTGGATGTAGGGACTCCTGCTAAGATTCTATTGCAGCAGTTTAGGCAGCGGGGGTTAAAGGCCTGAACTAGGGTGATTGTGGTGAAAAGAGACAGAGATGAATATGAGAGATGTTGAGAAGATGAAATTGATAACAACTTGGCAATTGACTGATATTAAACATTCCCATATCCTTCTACAGATCCTGATTCCCTTCCCCTGAATGTACTCCACTATGTTAATATCTTCCAGAATATTAATTACACCTGGATCTGAATATAACACTCCATATGTATATTACCAGTGAGACTATTACCACCTTTGTTCCGTGCCCTACACCACCATTAATACAGACCAAATTTGCGTTAGCTTTTTTGATTTTCTGTGTTGTACTGTTGACTCATACTTGACTTGCAGTCCGATAAAATCCCTAGGTCTTTTTTAAGATGAATTTTATCAGGCCATATTCTCATAATTATACATATAGTTGATTTTTGAAAGAATATTATTCATCCCTATTTGGCCCATTTGTTCAGCCCATCAAAATCTCTCAAATCCCTATTTTTACTTCTAACATATTAGTTCCCAGCTTCATGTCATCTGCAAATATGATAAACATTCTATCTCTGTCTTCATTGAAGTTATTGGTAAAAATGTTGAACAGAACAGATCCAAGAATGTGTACAGCAGTACTGCCCTGGAGATTTCCTTCCAGCTTGATATCAACTCATTAACTACTACTTTTAGGGTCCAAATTCAACTAGTTTTGAATACACCTAACTGTACTATCATCCAATCTGCATCTTTCCATCTTGTCTTCAGTAATATAATGACAGACTGAGAAAGGCCTTGCTGAAATTGAGGTATATGTTATCCTTATGGTACTCACTCAATCTACCAGTCTAATAACCCTATTTTAAAAATAAATTAATTTAGCATAAAATGATTTGGATTTTATTAATTCATATTGGTTTATATATCCTTACTAAGACCACTTCCTATAAAGCCTGCCCTCATCCTCTAATGCTCCCAGCTTTCCCCAAAGCCACATTGCTGATGGTTCTAGGTTTAGCAGGAATGTCTTTGGAATTTCAGGAGTCATTGACGTTCAAGGATGTGGCTGTGGACTTCACCCCGGAAGAATGGGGGCAGCTGTACCCTGCTCAGAGGGACCTGTACAGGGAAGTAATGCTGGAAAACTATAGAAACCTGGTCTCATTGGGTAAGGGTGGCTTCCCTGTATGATTCAGAATCTGCCCTTTGGAGGATCTTTGTTTCCTCAATTGTTAAATGCTATGGGGCCTCTGAAGTGTTAGCAGAGTTTGGGCTTCAGGGTTCAGAGAAACAGGGTGTCCTGGCTCCCTCTTTCCAAGTGGAAGAGCTATAATTCATAGCATTAGAAATGGGCAGCTTCAACGTGCTGCTCGTTATGCTGCACCTTTCTCACCCTTCAGAGGTCTTGAAGAGCAAGTCACTGGGACTGAATTCTAGGATTGTTCTTTGTCCCTAGCACAAACACCCAAGTCCTTTGTCTTTACCCATGAGCAGGGCATCAAGTTTCCAAACCACATTTGATCTCCCAGTTGGAGCAAAGAAAAGAACCTTGGATGATGGAGAGAAAAATCCCAAGAGGGAACTTCCCAGGTGAGTGATGAAAGCAAGGCAAATAGGAGTCACTGTAAGTAAGAGTCATGACGGGGTGAGTTTTGGGTAACGTGGGTGGCCCTCCACAAAAATCCCAATACCTGTAGATAAGACTGGGGCCATTTGACAAAAGCTACCTTGGATACCTACCCTGATTTCACCTTGCTATATCATAGAAGAGACCTAGATATCATCTAATATCCTACTTTATACAGGATTTTTCTCCTATAACATCCCTTAAAGATAGCTAGCTATCCAGCCTCTACTAGGACATTTCTGGTGGCAACAAGATAGCTTGTTCTATTTTGGGTCAACTCTAATTTTTAGAAAAATATTCCTTATATTGAGTGAATTTCTTTGCATGAACTTCCTGATTTCCTGCAACTTCCACTAATTGGTCCCACTTCTGATCTTTGTAGTAAAGTAGAATAATCCTACAAATTCTTCTGCATGCCAGCCCTTCAAACATTTGAAGTCAGTTTCCATATGTCTCCTAAATTTTCTCTATGCTCCAATCATGGAAGAAGAGTTGTCCTTGTTAAATAAAGCTAAACTCCCCTCAGACTCTGGATTTTGTCCATTACAGCATCTTCTAGGACCTAGATCCTATAATTCTCTTTCTAACATCATTAGTCTTTCCTATTCATAGACTCCCTGTATTTTTATTCTTCAAATTTGTTATTAATACCTACTACCTCAGTTTCCATTTTGATTTGCAATTACAGCATTTTAAGACTTAGAGACCACTTAACTGTAATCTAGTGTCTATTCTCCCTCCATTGCTTCATTTGTATACACCAGCCCCACACACATATCTCACACTTTTCTAATGGCCTTTTTTTAGTCTCCATCTTCTTCACCTTCATTGTATCTGATAGTGATGACTTATATTTGATATTGATTCTTGAATTTCCTCCATTGGCTTATATGATGCTGTACTATGCTGCTCTTTTTCACTGACTTTTCTTCTTCCTTCTTCCCCTTTATTATAGGATGTGGTATCTTTAGCTCTCTATTCCTCCTTTTCTATAGTCGGTCCCTTGGAGAACTTAATCATTGTGATTATTTCAGCTATCCCTTTTATGCTTATGACTCTCAAATCTATACTTCCAACTTAGATGTGTTATGTACATACTAGTCACATTTTCACCTGCCCCTGTGATAATCTATTTGGATATCCCACTGTTCATTTCAAACTCAACATATTTTTAATTGAATTTACCATATTTTATCCAAAATACCTCATCAAAACCTGCATTTTTGCCAATAGTAGTACTACTACTCTCCTAATCTAGAAATTATATAGTCATATTAAATAATCCATCTCCTTCATGTCCAATCTATCATCAAGTCTTGTTCTTTTAAAATCTCTTAAGACTCAGCCCTTATTATCTGACATTCTAGGCCAGGTCTACATTACCTTGAAGCTGGATTTGTGGTGTGATGGAAAGAACACTGAATCTGAAGTCAGAAGATCTAGGTTTATATCCTAGGAGACCCTGGGCAATTCACTTCCCTCCTAAGAGTTTCAGCTTTTTAATGCAAAAAATGAAGGGTTAAATTTTTTAATTCTCTTCTATTTCTAAGTTGTATGAGTCCATGGTTAATGTTAATTGCACCTGGCCATCATAATGGTAGGCTTTTTCTCCCCTATTATCCATCTTGTATGTGATTGTTAAATTAATCTACCAATGACCAGTACATTGAAGCTGTTCACTGTTGACTCTACAAAGAAAAGACATTTCTGAGAAGCAATGTGATAGAATGGATAGGATACTAGACTAGGAGTCAGAAAGACCTGGATTCAGATCCCATCTTCAAACATTTATTAGCTGTGTGATCTGGGCAAGTCCCTTAATTTTTCTGTGCCCCAGTTTCCTCAATTGTAAAATGTAGGAGTTGTATTCAGTGGCCCATAAGGTCCATTCTAGCTCTAAACCTATGATTCTGTGAACTTCTAGAAAAGGGAGGTGAAAATACCTTCTCTGTGTCCTAAAGAAATCAGAAATATTGGATAACATTCTTACCTGGGTATCTCTGAGGTTCCATGGTTTTTAATCTTTAAGGAAACAGATGCTGAAATGAACAAAATTAATATAAGAAAGTCATTACCCTGTCAAGATGCTGCTCAGAGTTTGATGACTACTGATTGCCTCCTAAATCACATCTAAATCTTCCTCCCTCTATTTCTCAACCAATAGACTCTGCTTCCTATTTTTTATAGGTGATGCCCTTTTCTCTAACTGTGGCTTTGAATATATTCTGCCCTGTCTGAAACACCCTCCACTTTTCTTTTTGTCTACTAAATCCTAGGCACAAAGCCTTTAATGTCCACTGAAGTTCCTCTCCTCCAGGAAACCTTCCTTGATTACTACATGTTATGTTGGTCTTTTTTTATGAAATTCTAAAGCACATATAATCTTTGCCACATAGATCTACCATTTATTTATATGGACTTTTATTTTCAATTTTTCACATGTGTTAAGGCTTCTTATGTAGCTAGTAAGGTCTTTGGAGGGAATAACCTTTTTCTCACTCTTCCCTTTTATCTCTAGTACTGCTTAAATAATAAATGCTTAGTAAACAGTTGAGTGGTTAGTTACTATGGAGCCACTAGGATTCCAGTTGACCACTGAAGTCCTGTGACTTTTGATACAGGTGGACCTGAGATAATTGGGAAGGGGTCACATAGAGTTATAAGAAATAAAGCTGTTGATGTCTTTATGATACAAAGTCATCCTTGCTCTGTCTTTAGGCATAGGTCATATACTTCAGGCAGCTTGCAATACTGTAGCCCAGTGCATAAGATTTTCCCAGGGAAATACAGATACAAGGAAAGCCACCCAAGTCACCAGACTGCCTAGAGCTATGCTCTGCCATGAAGAGGTCTCATCCAGTTTTTTTGCTTACCTTCTTTTTTAAGACCAATTTGGGAACACCAGACCAGAGGGCTAGTTTCTCCTTTCTTGTGTATGCTACCTTCAGGCATTTTCAGAGAGAGAAATAGACTTATGATAGGCAGCTTAGTATAGTAGATAGCATATCAGACTTGTCAGGAATACCTGGGGTTGAATCTCACCCTTGTTACACAATAGCTGTTTGGCCAAGGATAAGTGCCTTAATCTTTCTGAGCTTCAGTTTCCTCATGTATAAAATGAGGATAATAATACCTATGGTACTTACCTCACAGGATTGTTGAGAGGCTGCAACTCGATAATGTGTGAAATGCATGGAAAATTTTAAAGTGCTATATAAAGGTCAGTGATGATGATGATGATGATGATGATGATGATGATGATGATGATGATGATGATGAGTGCTGTTGGTAGCTTCTGCTGCTTTCCTATTCTCAGAGCTCCACTGCCCTGCCTCCTTGATTGTGATATTGTCACAAGGAAATGATTTTTCTATTCATTTATTCATTCACTCAAAAGCATTTATTGAATATCTGTGGAGAAAGATGCAGAAGTAAGTGATGTATTTACTTGCACACAGGAAAGACAAAGTAGACCCCACATGAAATGTTACATATTTGAACATAAAACATATGAGTAACCATGCAAGATAACATGGATAAAGTAGGTTATAGTATAGACATACTTTAGGAATAAAATTCAAAAAGCATTGATTGTGGCTCTACTGTGTACAAAGCTCATACTTTAATATGTGTAAGCCCTGTATAGGAGATATAAAAAGAATAAATATGCCATGAAGCTTACAGCTTAATAGTGGGGAACAAGCCACTTATATTTTTTTTTAAAAAACCTGATATCAGGTATAAATTCCGTGAAAGAAGAATGTCAGTATGGGCCAAATGGCTTTAGAGTCTTTTTTTAAAAATTAGTTTATTTTTAGTTTTCAACATTCACTTCCATAAGCTTTTGAGTTGTAAATTTTCTCCCCTTCTCTTCCCACCTCCCTCCCTAAGACAGTGTGCAATCTGATATAGGCTGTACATATACATTCCTATTAAACATATTTTCACATTAGTCATGTTGTAAAGAAGAATTAGAACCAATAGGAGGAACAATAAGAAGGAGGAAACAACAAAACAGAAGAGAAAGAAAAAAACAAGAGCAAATAGTATGCTTCGATCTGCATTCCAACTCCATAGTTCTTTCTCTGGATGTGGATGGCATTTGTGTCATGAAACTTTTGGAGATGCCTTAGATCCTTGTATTGCTGAGAAAAACTAAGTCTATTAAAGTTAGTCATTGTACAACATGGCTGTTCCTGTGTACAACATTCTCCTGGTTCTGCTCACTTCCCTCAACATCAGTCCATACAAGTCTTTCTAGGTTTTTCTGAAATCTGCCTGCTCATCATTTCTTATAGCACAATAGTATTCCATTACATTCATATACCACAACTTGTTCAGCCATTCCCCACTTGATGGGCGTCCCCTCAATTTCTAATTCTTTGCCACCACAAAAAGAGCTGCTATAAATATTTTGGTATATGTGGGTCCTTTTCCCATTTTTATGATCTCTTTGGGATACAGACCTAGAAGTGCTATTGCTGGGTCAAAGGCTATGCACATTTTTATAGCCCTTTGAGCATAGTTCCAAATTGCTCCCCAAAATGGTTGGATTAATTTACAACTCCACCAACAATGCATTAATGTTCCAATTTTCCCACATCTTCTCCAACATTTGTCATTTTCCTGTTTTGTCATGTTGGCCAATCTGATAGATGTGATGTGGTACCTCAGAGGTGTTTTGATCTGCATTTCTCTAATCAATAGTGATTTAGAGTATTTTTTCATATGACTATAGATGGCTTTAATTTCTTTATCTAAAAATTGCCTGTTCATATCCTTTGACCATTTATCAATTGGGGAATGACTTGTATTCTTATAAATTTGACTCAGTTCTCTATATATTTTAAAAATAAGGCTGTTATCAGAGACATTGGTTGTAAAAATTCTTTCCCAGTTTTCTGCTTCCCTCCTAATCTTGGTTGCATTGGCTTTGTGCAAAAACTTTTCAATTTAATGTAATCAAAATTATCCATTTTGTGGGAAAAGGACCCACATGTACAAAAATATTCATAGCAGCTCTTTTTGTGGTGGCAAAGAATTGGAAACTGAGAGGATGCCCATCAATTGGGGAATGGCTGAGCAAGTTGTGGTATATGAATGTAATGGAATACTATTGTGCTATAAGAAATGATGAACAGGCTGACTTCAGAAAAACCTGGAAAGACTTATATGGTCTGATGCTAAGTGAAGTGAGCAGAACCAAGAGGACTTTGTACACAATAACAGCCACGTTATGCAGTGACTAAGAATGTTAAACTGAACCCTTCTCAGCATTACAAGGATCTAAGACATCTCCAGGGGCCTCAGGATGGAAAATGCTGTCCACATCCAAAGAAAGAACTATGGAAGTCGAATCGCTATCACTTATTTTTACCTTCTGTTGAATTTTGTTTCATCTTTCTGATGGTTCCTCCTATTGGTTTTAATTTTTACTTACAACTTCACTAATGTGAAAATATGTTTAATGGGTACGTAAATGTAAAGCTTATGTCAGATTGTGCGCCGTCTTGGGGAGGGTGGGGGGGAGGAAAAGGGAGAAAAATTTTCAACTCAAAAGCATATGGAAAAAAAAATTTAAAAACAGAAATTTTTAAAAATGCTATACCACATTGCCTCTTTAGATTAAAATTTTAAAATATAAAATAAAAAAGTTTGGATTAAATTTTTTAAAAAATTATCCATTTTGCATTTCATAATGTGTTCTCTGTCTCTTGTTTGGTCATAAATTCTTCTGTTCTCCATAAATCTGACAGGTAAACTATTCCTTGCTCTCCCAGTTTGCTTGTAGTATTAGCCTTTATATCTAAATTGTGAACCCATTTTGACTTTATTTTGGTATATGGTATAAGATTTTGGTCTGTGCATAGTGTCTGCCATACTCTTCTTTGGAGTCTTTTTTTTTAAAGAAGTAGAATATAAACTGGTCCCTTGAGGATGTTTAGGATTTGATACCAAAGAGACTTTTGAGGTGTATTGAACAACATGATCAAAGCTTGAAATTTTGAGTGAGTATGGCATATGTGGGAGACAGGAGCTTGGGTGGACTAAAGTAGAATATAAGTTTAAATAGGTAAGACCATACCAAATTGTGGTGATATCTGATCAACTGGCTAAAAATCACAGACTTTATCCTATGGGGATAGGGGAGGCATTGGAAGATTTTTCAACAAAAGAGTAACATTGTCATATTAGGGGTGTGGAGGCAATTTTAGAGTAGCAGAGAGGTTGATACTCTTGTGTGATGATAGCTGCAGCTTTACTGTATTAGAGCACTGATGGTCAGGTAGGTACCAGGATTAGGAGATGCTTGGGCAGGAGCTCAGTATTAGGAATACAGGTTTTAAGGCCTCTGTACTTGACATAGAACATTTAAAGGTCTGGGAACCAGAAAGTTAAAGTAGTGAGTAGGAGTTCTGTTATCAGTAATCAGGCAAAATAGGTCTTGATCATCAAACAAGATGAGGATTTGTAATCTAGGAAATACAGGAGAATAAGACAAGAAATAAGCTCCAGTGATTAGAATGTAGAAATGATCCTACTCTGGAGTAATTGATGGTTTTTCTTCTTGCTCTTTTTTACTTCATGTTGAATATAGGTTCCTGGGTTTCTGCAGGTGGGTTTCAAGAAGTGACTGTAGCTAGACGATAATAGGAAACTGCAGAATTCCTCTAATCATGATACCCAAGGGTATAGAAAACCTGGGCTTCAGGAGTATTCTTAAAGACGTGAAATTATTTGTTAGTGAGACATTTCTTTGGTAGGAGTGAACCAGATGGATTAAAAAATCAAAAGACGATTGTAGGAAGATAGGTTAGTTAATACAATTATTATTATTAGTTATTACAATAATTCAGGCATGAGATGATAAAGCCCAATGTACTATTACCAGATTATAACCCCTAGTTCTAACTCATTCCTACATTCCCTCCACTTGCCCTTTTTCCCAGTTACCCTTCTTGCCATCCATTTTATTTTTTGGTTTGTTTTTTTTTTCAGTGAGGCAGTTGGGGTTAAGTGACTTGCCCAGAGTCACACAGCTAGTAAGTGTTAAGTGTCTAGTCTGAGACCATATTTGAACTCAGGTCCTCCTGACTCTAGGGCCAGTGCTTATCCACTGCACCACTTAGCTGCCCCATCCATTATGTTTTGATAAACTCTATTTGTTCTCTGTGCCTTCAAGTCTCATGCTAGATTAGCTCTCCTAATCATCTGTGTCCCTTCCTCACTGTTTCTCTTTCTACAATTATTTGTGGCCCTTCCTCACTGTTTACTCTATTTTCTATTCTTCCCAGATTGGAAGGCCATATTTGAGAGTTTTCAAAGCCATGCATGCCTTCAGTTCCTCAGTTCCATGCATAGTGTGCTATAGCACTTTCCCTGCTCTCAACACAGGAGACAGTTTCATGTTTTATTTCTTACAGATTGGGAAACTAGACCTGAAACCAAGGAATCAACTCCAAAGGAGGATGTTGCTGATAAAGAATTATCCCAGGAGGTGATAATGAAAAGATTCCCAAGGGATGGTCTTTGGTGTTCTACATTTGGAGAGGCCTTGGAATGTGATGGCCGGTTAGGGAAGCAGCAAAGAATCAAGGAGAGAATGTTAAAACAAATGTCAGTCACCCACAAGAAAAACTTCAGTGGTAAGAACCATTCTGAATGTAATGAACTTGGAATAAGCCTTAGTTTGAGATCAATATTTGTTACCCAACAGAGAAGTTCTATAGGAAGGAGATGCAATAAATGTAATACATGTGGAAAGGTCTTCAAACATAATTTAGACCTAGTTAAGCATCAGCAAATATGTGCAGGAAAGAAACCCTATGAATGTGATGATTGTGGAAAAACCTTCAGTCAGATTTCATACCTTACCCAACATCGGAGAATTCATACTGGAGAGAAACCCTATGAATGTAGTGAATGTGAGAAGGCCTTTAGCCAGATTTCATACCTTACCCAACATCGGAGAATCCATACTGGAGAAAAACCCTATGAGTGTAGTGAATGTGGGAAAACTTTCAGCCAGCGCACACACCTTACTTGGCATCAGAGAATTCATACTGGTGAGAAACCTTATAAATGTAATGAATGTGGGAAGGCCTTCAGCATCACTTCATCACTTAATAAACATTGGAGAATTCATACTGGAGAAAAACCCTATGAATGTATTGAATGTGGAAAAGCCTTTAGCCGAAGTACAGCTCTTACTCAACATCAGAGAATTCATACTGGAGAAAAACCCTGTCATTGTAATGAATGTGGAAAAGCCTTTAGCAGAAGAACAGCCCTTACTCAACATCAGAGAGTTCATTCAGGAGAGAAACCCTATCATTGTAGTGAATGTGGAAAAGCCTTCAGGCAGCACAGAGCCCTTACTCAACATCAGAGAATTCATACAGGAGAGAAACCTTATCAATGTAGTGAATGTGGAAAAGCCTTCAGCAACAGGTCATCCCTGATTCAACATCAGAGAATTCACAGTGGAGAGAAACCCTATGAATGTAATGAATGTGGGAAAGCCTTTAGTTGGAGGACACACCTTACTCAGCATCTAAGAATTCATACAGGAGAGAAACCTTATCAGTGTAATGAATGTGGGAAAGCTTTCAGTGACAGATCATCTCTTACTCAACACCAGCGAATTCATACAGGAGAGAAACCCTATCAATGTAATGAATGTGGGAGAGCTTTCAGCCGTAACTCATCTCTTACTAAACATCAGAGAATTCATATTGGAGAAGACCCCTATGAATTAAGTTAATTTGGGAAGTTATTAATTCATACTGGAAAGGAACCCTATGTATGAGGGAGACCTTTCTTGTACAAACTGAGACCTCAATAGACATTACTGCAAAGTCTCTGAAGAATAACACTGAAAATGAAGTGGATTTAGAGAAATTTCTTTCAGACTCATAAATATCCTTGAATTATAGAATCATGTAATTTGAGTTGAAAGGGACATCAGAGATAATTTAATCCAACTCATTCCTAAGCAGAAATGTCTCTAAAATCATCTCTGCCAAGTGGTCACCCAGCCTCAGTTTGAAGGTTCCCAGTGTGGAGGAAATTCACTACCCCTCCCCCCAAGATATCATTCTACTTTTGAACAGTTTCAATTGCTAGGAACTTTTCCCTTAAATCAAACCAAAATCTACTTTTTCCCCATATTTCTTACTTTCATATGTTGTCTTCTGCCATTAGAATGTATACTCCTTGAGGATAGGACTGGTTTTTTTTTTGCTTGTATTTTTGCCCCCAGTGCTTAGCTCAGTGCCTGGCACATAGTAAGCACTTAATAAATGCTATATCTATCTCCTCTGTCATTTCATTTGTTGTTCTTAATCTTATCTTCTAGTTGAAGACAGCTATCATGTCTTTTCTAGTCTTCTCCGCTTCATTTGGTTGTTTCTTATATGACAGGCTCTCTAGTTTCCCTTACCGTCCTGTCTGGCAAATATCCTTACTAAAATGTGGTTTCTAGAAGAGAACACCATCCTCCAAATGTAGCCTAAGTAGACCAAGGATAAGTTAATATGCAACAGTTTGTGCCGGCCATAAGTTTGTTTGTACTGCTATTTTCTCCTTTATTTTTTTCTCTCCTACTATCTCTTGGGATTCTTGTAACAAAGTCTGAATGTAAAGTGTGCTGGTCTCAGTTTTCAGATGACATCTAGTTGTTTTCCAGGTGTATATATATGTATATACATATGTATATATGTGTGGATACATACATATGTGTATATACACATACATGCATATTTTTAAAAGCTTATATAGGTGTACACATATACACACATATTTACATATATAAGCTTTTTAAAATAAAAAAAATAATGTAAAAATCTTTTAGAGCAATTGAACTAAACCAATGCAAACAGCAGGTTACATTATTAGAGCTGAAGTTGAAATAATAAAAGTTGAATCTAATTTTCTAATTGAAATGACATTGTAAGATTTCACATTCCTTACCAAGGGACTGATGCCTGATTTGCCTTTATATAAAAAAGATAACACATGACACTATATTTAATTCATTTTGAAGGAGCTTTTTGTAATTCATGTAAATCAACCAGTTAGGGAAACAATAATAGGTCACTCAAATTGCCTTTAAAGCAATCCTTTAAAAGAGGATTTTGTCTTTTATCCTAGAGGCAAATTCTTGAGCCGAGAGTGACTATAAGACCTATACTTTAGAGACTGGAGACAGGGCCAATGAGTAGGCTATTTTATAGTCTAAGTGAAAGGTAAAGGCCTAAATTGAAGGGGTTGTGTGAATGGAGAGAAGGGGACTGATTCAAGACATTGTGGTAGAATTGACAAAACATGGCAACTGATTCGATGTGAGGAATGAGCATGAGGACAAAGTTAAGGATGATTTTGTGGTTGTGACCCTGGGTGGCTAGGAGATGATACTCTCAACAGTATTAGGGAAGTTAGGAAAATTGGAAGATTTGGGGAAAAAAGATAAATGAGTTTTTATTTTGGACATGTTGACATTGAGAAGCCCTTAGGATGTCCATTCAGAAATGTCTATTAAGGAGTTAGTGATTCAGGACTGAGGTTCAGGAGAGAATGGGGTAAGATACATAGATCTGGGAGTCATCTGCATGAAGTCAAGTCCACAAGCATTTATTAAGTGCCTACTCTGTGCCAATCTGTAGTAAACACTGGGGGTACAAATAAAAGCAAAAATAGTCCCGGCCCTCATGGAGCTCACGATCTAATGAGGGAAGCAATATGCAAACAACTGTATACAAACAAAATTTTTACAGAATAAATTAGAGATAATCTCAGAGGGTGATTGGGGAAAGTTTCTTACAGAGGGTGGAATTTTAGCTGAGACATGAAGGAAGTAAGGAGGTAGAAAGAGAGAGAAGGAATTCCAGGCCTAGGGAAAAGCCAGTGAAAAGGCCTAGAGTGAGGAGATGGAGTGTCATGTACCAGGAACAGCCAGGAGGCTGGTGTCACTGGACAGTAGAGCAGGTGGAGAAGAGTAAGGTGTAAGAGGACTGGAAACGTAGGAAGAGGCCAGGTTATGAAAGGATTTAAAAGCTGAACAGATGACTTCATATTTGATCTTGGAGGTAATAGAGAGCCATTGGAGTTTATTGATAAGGAGTAGGGGGGCAGAGGGGATGACACAGACCTGTACTTTAAGATCACTTTGATATCTGAGTGGAGGGAAGACTAAAATGGGGGAGAGATGTGAGGCCAGAGGGCCAACCAAAAGATGACTGCCATAGTTTAGGCGTAGGATAATGAGCGACTGCAGCAGGGGGGTAGCAGTGATAGAAGAGAGAAGGGGGTGTATACAAGAGATGCTGCAAACTAGAATCAATAGGACTTAGTAAAAATTAGACGGAGGAAAGGGGCAGTAACAGAAAGTGAAAAGTAAAGGATGACATCTAGATTGCCATCCTGGGTAACTGGGAGGATGGGGGTTGCCCTAGTCAGTAGCAGGGAAGTTAAGAATAAGGTACAGTTTGGGGGAAAAGATAATGAATTCACCTTGGGACATGTCGAGTTCAAGATGTCTATGGGGCAGCCAGTTCAAGATGTTCGGATTAACAAATGCAAGGATGCGGGAAATCCTTGTTATTGGGGGCTGATATCCAGTATCTTTATCTTTTAATATACATTTACCTAGTGGGGGAGGGGCACAGAAATAAGGATTAAATTGTAGGTGATGTTGGGTAAATATAGATGAAACATCTTTTTGTGGTACCAGTTCCATTGATAATCTTTTCTAGTTAGAAGTTCAGAGACCTTCTTGGTTGGAGGAAAGGAAGAAAAAGATAGACCTTTCTAGGAATTAGTAGATAATACATTGCTCTGAGATTTGCTGTATTAAGTATCACCATCAGCTGATGCCCAGCCAGGTACTTTTCCATCAGAATCTCCTCTCTGAGTAGGAATGGGGAAGTGTCTGGTACATCAGAGAAGGCAGCTGCTGTGTGGCGGGGAGAAGGCCATGAGAGTGTTTGGGGAGTGAGATTCCATAACAGAACTGTTTTAACAGAACAAGACTTTATTATCTGATAAGGAGCAACATATGCCCTACCCATGCCAATAAACTCTGAACTCGTTGTCTTTCTATATGTCACTAATGGGAAATGGCCATATTTAGAGTCTGGAAAGAAATACCTGTGTATGTGGTCCTTAGTGGGTTTCATTTTTTGCATATCACTGATCATACCAACTCATCTCTATGGTCCAATCCTGGTCCCAAATACCTTAAAGTTCCATTAAGGTCTTCAGGTTCCATTCAAGGGCAGAGACTATATAATTCAAATCCTGGAATGGCATATCCATTTTATTTATTTTATTTTCAGTTCTGAATTCTTTCCTTCCCACCTCCCCTGTCCCCACCCATTGAGAAGCCAAGAAAACAAAGCATGTTACAAATATGTATAGTCAAGCAAAACAGATTCCCAAATGAAATGCCTGCTGATCTGGAAAGGTATCTTCAAAGAAGCCTGACTGAAGGTTAGAACAAGGCTACGAAGGAGAAAGAGAGAATAAGAGAGAGAGAGAGAGAGAGAGAGAGAGAGAGAGAGAGAGAGAGAGAGAGAGAACAAGAGCCTTGTGATTTCCAGTAGGCTCAATGATGTGCTGTGGTGCAGACTCTGAGAAAGACACCTTCCTATGACTAGCAGGATGGAAGAACCATCACATTTGTCAGAGGGAAAGCAAAGCAAAGCTTGGGGAAAGCAGAGTCCTTGGCCCAGTGAGGGAGAAGTGGGTTCTGCATACATGCACTAATATTTTCATGTCTTCTCTGCCAATGCAGATGAAATATTTGGGGTGATGTACAGATTAATTTAATTGTTAATTGTTAAACTGAGGCAGCCAGGTGGCTCAGTAGATAAATGCTGGGCCTGGAGTCAGGAAGACCTGAGTTCAAATCTAACCTTAAAAATTTACTAGCTGTGTGACCTAGGCAAGTCATTTAACATCTGTCTTCCTTAATCCACTGCAGAAGGAAATGGCAACCACTCCAGTATCTTTGCCAAGAAAACCCTATGGTCAGTATTTGTATGCTATGGTCCATGGAGTCATGAAGAGTTGGTCACTGAACAACTGAACAACAGGTTAATTGCATTAGCAATTCTGCTTAAGTCTGCAGTTATCCTGGTATACCCCTAATCAAACTTAGCCAACATCCAGCATGTCTGCAACTGGAGGAGGGATAGTGATGAAAGATCACATGTTTTATTCCTGAAAATTCTGTATCATTCATCTTCTCTAAGTCCCTGTTGCCCATTCAGGTTTGGGATATCTAACATGGCTCCTGCTTAGCACAGAGTTGGTTTACTCTTCTCTGTCACACTGGTTGGTTTGGTAGGGACATGGGAATAAATTGTATTAAGGGCTGATTCTTGCCTCCCCTCTACAAGTGCTTCACTGACCCATCCCATAGGTGCAAGACATCTCAGAAGTGCTGAATGAATGTTAACCCATTTACTACACCTGGCTAGATAGCATGCTTTAGTTCCTGGATGCCTGCCGAGGATAGTTAAGTCAGCAGTTTAGGCCATGAACAAACTTAATGGTACTTTGTTTTTCCTTTTGCCTATTTAAACTCCCTGAGCCTTAGAGTCCCTTATTTAATGAGCTCTAGCTGTCTTTTTGGAAGTCCCTGGTTTGGAGGAAGTTCCTTGGACCCCAGCCAGGGCCACAAGAGTAGTCCCAATAAATTTGCAAAGTCAGCCATGGGGTGAGTGAGACTCTACCCCCACTCTTCACTTCCTTTTTTCCCTCCTTTGCCCCCTTAACCACTTACAATGCTCAAAGACATCAGAGACTAGATCTGGAAGTGGAGTAATAGATAGACCTTATCTCCATACCAGTCACTGCCTTAGAATCTCTGGGAAGTGAGGAAAACGGGAAACAACACGGACATATTCTAAGATAGGATGAGAATGTGAGTAATGAGGAAGCTGGGAAGCCATCTTTGGTGTTGCCAGCCTAGTAGGCTATCTGACATGCTGCTACAATTCATGTGAGGGACTGCTGCACCCCTGAGCTGAATTGAGACTTCAGGCCCATTCGCTGCCCAAATAGCTGATGGAGAACTAATTCAAGATGCATGCTTGAACCATAGCACCCCCATGTCAAAACCTACCAAGACTTCTGACTATAAAGAATAACTTAAAATAAACCTCATTAGGATATATAAATTCAGTGTGTGTGTGCTCTTTTTTCTTCTTGGGTATAATGGCTAGCTTACCACGTAACTCATAAAAAGATCATTCACTGCTCAATGACAAGGGAAAATAGGTAGGATTACTTGAACAATTGTTTTCATTTACCCTCTATGTGCCCAATATAACACTAAGTTATATTGGTGCAGTGGATAGGGCTCTGGGCATGGAGTCAGGAAGATGTGAGTTCAAATCCAGCCTTAGACACTTACTGGGCAAGTCACTTAACTGCTGTTTGCCTCAGTTTTCTCATCTGTAAAATGGGGATAATTGTACCTACCTCCCAGGATTATTGTGAGGATCAAATGAGATAATTGTCAAGTGCTTAGCACAGTGCCTGGCACATAATATGCTCTATATAAATGCTTATTATTTGTTTTTGGTTTTGGCTAGGCAATGGGGTTAAATGACTTGCCCAGGGTCACACAGCTAGTAAGCGTTATGTGTCTGAGGATGCATTTGAACTCAGGTCCTCCTGAATCCAGGGCTGGT